GCTGCAAGCTACTTCAGGAACTGAAGAAGGTCCCGGCACGTGGACCAAAACGTCGGACATTGGACCGAACAAATCGCCATACAACCCAAAAACATACCGGAGAGTTTTTGTGGGATTATCATCTTACACGCAGAGCAAACAGACCCACACGTACAGAACATGTGAGAAACGTTCCATCACAGCAGGCACTTTCATATTAGATTAATCACACAAAGTGATGTAACAGAAACCATAGCACTATCTCGGGACATAGCTTGGGCTACAGTTAAGGTGTTAGTAAAGAGTAACTAATTTTAAACTGTCAGTTGATGCAGGCCTGTACACAACTCTATAGAGGGTAGGTGTTGCCACAGTGGTGCAATGGGTAGAACGCTGGACTTGGTGGCCGGTTCGATTCCATCTCCCGGCGCGGCAGTTGAGAAACTCTGGAGCAAGTTTATTAAACTCCCCCTCCCCACTCCGCCTCTGTCCACGCAGCAGCATAAAAGGGTGACACCACAGTTAGTCGACAGGCAGGTTCCGTTTTGTGGGGTAAAGTGTGCGTTTGCCCAGCGTTCAACGAGCATGTAAGACTGAAAGAGTTAGCCAAATACACCTCTGCTCCCACCAGCAGGAGCAAGACATTGCAAGGCTACACCTTTACCGGTATTTCAGAGAGTGCGTTTGAAAGCCCTCCATTGTTCCCACTGTTTCTTACCTCAAGGGGCATTTTTATCTATGCTGCACATAAATGCGTACCTGCGATCCGTAATGGGCTGCCTTAGTGTGAACAGAGATTAGTGTCAGGGTCATCTGTAAGGGTTATTTATTTGACTGGCAGCAGCTGCATAGGTTGTTTAATGGCACTGAGCAACGGACAGAGTAGTTTTTATTAAAAAAAATAAGCCTACTGACAAGCGGTGAATGTGGATGGAGTTGAGTGGAAATAAACTGGGATGTTTGGCCAAATATAAACGGTTCTGGAGCAAAGGTTAATACATGAGCAGAGTGAAACGATTGTATCTGAGCCGTCTAGCGCAGGCGTGGGGAACCTACGCTCCATGTGACGTACCCAACCCGTGGCCACATGAAACGGTCCACTGATAACTGTGTATGTAGTTAAAGCATCGTCGCCACACTAATCGGGTACTAAAGGGGAATATTTTTCAACTTTGCAACAACACTAATTTTAGTGCACTCAGAATCCGAATATTTATTAATCCTGGAGAAATCCCATGAACTATGAAGCTCTTTTCAGTCACCTCTGTCACTGTGAGGGCCTCTAAACAGTTACTGAATTGACTTATGTGTGTGATAATGTGTGGTGGCGCACCAAAGATATTCGAGAGTCGTATTCACCCCCCCTCCCCCAAGAAGGATTCGGTTCCCCAGTCGTGAGTTCTAATACAGCTGAGGCTTTTGACTCAGGATGTCATCTATCCGAGGTCAATAAAATCAGTGCCACTTTGTGGAACGTCAACAACAATTGTAATTCATATTCTTAGTTTTTTCGGTAAAGTCACGTTGAAGGGAAACAACAAAATAATAAAATATATATAAAGCAATAAAAAATTCTCACGACGTTTCGACCATAACTCAAACTGTCATCTTTAGGTGTGTTGGTTTGCATAAATTATTTTAAAACGGCGAATTTATTTATTTATAAAAAAAACGTTAGCGCCACGCGCAACGATTTGACAGTTTATTTAGGACTAGTCCCTCCTCTTTTCAGAATATAGATGGACTAGTCCTAAATAAACTGCCAAATCGTTGCGCGTGGCGCTAACGGTTTTTTTTTATAAATAAATAAATGCGCCGTTTAAAAATACATTTATGCAAACCAACACACCTGAAGATGACCGTTTGAGTTATGGTCGAAACGTCGTGAGAATTTTTTATTGTTTTATATATATTTTATTATTTTGTTGTTTCCCTTCAACGTGACTTTACCGAAAAAACTAAGAATATGAATTACTGCAGTCACGAAAGCTTTAAATCAAACCAATTGTAATGTTTATTACATTGACCCCTGTTATTTAAGAAGTGCCAGGGTGGCATGATGTTAACTTCGTCGCCTGGTATACAGGTCGGGGGTTCGATCCCGACTCTTATGACGCCTGTATATTTGGAGTTTACATGTTCTACCCATGGTCGTGTGGATTTTTTCCCCATATCCTTCGTTTTTTTCCCTCCACATTTAGAAACATGCGTTTAGATTATTTGGCGACAATAGATGTCCACATATTAAGCCACTTCGTTGAGCTATCATTTGTGGCCAGGTCTCTTCTGAAAAGAAAGCTAATAGCTCAGTGGGCTTTGCCTGGTAAAATAAAAGGTTTAGTTGTGAGTGATTTGCGTACCTTTCCTATACTTTGCACTCCTATCTTGTTTTCGTATGGTTTGTTGTTGTAACTTTCTCACCCGCCCCTTCTAGAGATCTGTGAAAAATAACTTTATCGCTCATCGTATATCTCCAGTACAAATAAAGAGTCTGATTCTGAACGTGGATTTTCCACGTCGGTCTTGGGGCTGTGAATGTAAATGCGCCGTCTGGAAGTGCGCCAACGGTACACTTGGCAGGAGGAGTTGAAACTATCGCTGCTGCCGGGTACTGTCAGCTGTAGTGTCGGAGGGCAACCGGCACCGGGGAGGCGATGGAAATGTGCGTGCAGGTTGCATTCTGCCTGCGTGTGAGTCTCCCAACCTGGTTAGATTGAAAACTAATTTATTTAGAACTGCTTGTAGTGTTTAGTTTGTTGTCCTTCCCCCGCACCTCCAATTATTATGGTTGGCTATGTACAAAACTTTTTTCCCTCACATACAGTGAGGGAAAAAAGTATTTGATCCCCTGCTGATTTTGTACGTTTGCCCACTGACAAAGAAATGATCAGTCTATAATTTTAATGGTAGGTTTATTTGAACAGTGAGAGATAGAATAACAACAACAAAATCCAGAAAAACTCATGTCAAAAATGTTATAAATTGATTTGCATTTCAATGAGGGAAATAAGTATTTGACCCTTCTGCAAAACATGACTTAGTACTTGGTGGCAAAACCCTTGTTGGCAATCACAGAGGTCAGACGTTTCTTGTAGTTGATCACCAGGTTTGCACACATCTCAGGAGGGATTTTGTCCCACTCCTCTTTGCAGATCTTCTCCAAGTCATTAAGGTTTCGAGGCTGACATTTGGCAACTCGAACCTTCAGCTCCCTCCACAGATTTTCTATGGGATTAAGGTCTGGAGACTGGCTAGGCCACTCCAGGACCTTAATGTGCTTCTTCTTGAGCCACTCCTTTGTTGCCTTTGTCGTGTGTTTTGGGTCATTGTCATGCTGGAATACCCATCCACGACCCATTTTCAATGCCCTGATTTGACGGTACATGGCCCAGTCCATCGTCCCTTTTATGCGGTGAAGTTGTCCTGTCCCCTTAGCAGAAAAACACCCCCAAAGCATAATGTTTCCACCTCCATGTTTGACGGTGGGGATGGTGTTCTTGGGGTCATAGGCAGCATTCCTCCTCCTCCAAACACGGCGAGTTGAGTTGATGCCAAAGAGCTCCGTTTTGGTCTCATCTGACCACAACACTTTCACCCAGTTGTCCTCTGAATCTTTCAGATGTTCATTGGCAAACTTCAGACGGGCATGTATATGTGCTTTCTTGAGCAGGGGGACCTTGCGGGCGCTGCGGGATTTCAGTCCTTCATGGCGTAGTGTGTTACCAATTGTTTTCTTGGTGACTATGGTCCCAGCTGCCTTGAGATCATTGACAAGATCCTCCCGTGTAGTTCTGGGCTGATTCCTCACCGTTCTCATGATCATTGCAACTCCACGAGGTGAGATCTTGCATGGAGCCCCAGGCGGAGGGAGATTGACAGTTTTTTTTGTGTTTCTTCCATTTGCGAATAATCGCACCAACTGTTTTCACCTTCTCACCAAGCTGCTTGGCAATGGTCTTGTAGCCTTTTTCCAGCCTTGTGTAGGTCTACAATCTTATCCCTGACATCCTTGGAGAGTTTGGAATCTGATTGATTGATTGCTTCTGTGGAGGGGTGTCTTTTATACAGGTAACAAGCTGAGATTAGGAGCACTCCTTTTAAGAGTGTGCTCCTAATCTCAGCTCTTTACCTGTATAAAAGACACCTGGGAGCCCGAAATCTTTCTGATTGAGAGGGGGTCAAATACGTATTTCCCTCATTAAAGTGCAAATCAATTTATAAAATTTTTGACATGCGTTTTTCTGGATTTTGTTGTTGTTATTCTGTCTCTCACTGTTCAAATAAACCTACCATTAAAATTATAGACTGATCATTTCTTTTTTCAGTGGGAAAACGTACAAAATCAGCAGGGGATCAAATACTTTTTCCCTCACTGTACATACACACATACAAGCAACCCCCTGGGCACGATTTCCGTGCGACAGCCGTGCCAGCTCGTTAGTTTCTGTTCCTTTCTATCCTCACGAGACTATGGCATTTATGGAGCGCCGATGGGGCTCCGGAAAAAAAATGCGAGGCAGTGACTTGTGAGCAGCATGTGCGGTGGAATAAAGTGTGGGTACTTCCATCTCTTTAATATATTTCATCTGAACTGTGGCTCTGGGCCAGAAGAGTGTAAATTCCACATTGCTATGGCAGTCACCGGTCTGTGCTCGCTAAAGGCATTTTGTTTGTCAACATTGGCCTATTTAAAAGGTTAAACGCAATAAAAAAAATTGGCCAAGGCCTCGTTCATGTAAAATATCCGTCCATTTAGAGACGCTTACGATTTGTAGGATGTCCGATCATTTGTCTCCTCGTGCTGTTTGTCAGGTGCCGTCACTCGTTTTCGCGATCGCTTCTGCGTAGATGGCTGACAGCTGCCATCCCCATCGGGTTGGCGAGAACTGCCTCGTTTGTCTATGCTGCCATGAAATGCGCCGGCAGTCTCTAATCGCTCGCTCCCCGCCCTCCCCCTCCCGCATTGTCCGTCCGCCCGTGTGTCTGTGTGCATCCGTGCGTCCGCCAATTTTGTGCCGCAGATGGAAGAGATCGTGACGCGGATGCAGGACGATAAGTCCGGTGTCCCCATCCGAACGGTCAAAAGCTTCCTCTCCAAAATCCCCAGCGTCTTCACCGGTGCGTGGACCTGAGTTTGGAGGGGGGAGGAGGAAGGGGGGGTGGAACGGCCCTCAAATGTCAAGATTTTTAAACAGAACCCTTCATTAGGAATAAAAAAAAAACATTCAACGTACGTTTTCTGGTAAATGTCAATGAAATACGAATTTTCGGAGATTTCCAGGGGGTGGGCGAGAGGCGGGGGGTGGGGGGCAGGGGGGAAGCGCAATTGCCCCCATCGCACCTCCCCTGGATCCGCCACCGGTGTGGACCTCATGGGCGAAGCCATCGATGGCAGCCTGACGGACGCCTTCTTTATTGCGCGTCGGTCTGAAACGCGCACTGACCTCATGGTCACAAGGCTCTGAGAAAGAGATATTAAATTACATACAACACGAGGGGAAATACGCTTTTACAGTTTAATTTCCACGCGTCATCACATAATCCTGTTTGACAGGTACATTTTGATGGAAAGGTTTCGCAATAACTGTGACGCAAATTCAGTATTTATTTTCGGTGCGAACTTATTTTTGTAATAGCCGTATTTTACATGATTTGTTTTTGTTTTTATCACAGTTTTCATCGTGTGATGTTCAGCCTGCTCACGGAAAACTATTTTTAATTAACAAAATAACCGCATGTGGTGGAGCAAACCAATGTATTAGTTGTTTGAAATGGGTTTGTTATTTATTTATTCAATTAAATTAACACATCAAGGCCCCTTGGCCTTGCACAAGAGGCACATTTAAATTATCCATTTCATATATATAAATAAACGAGCAAAGCATCGCAGTGCCAATCGGCTGAATGCCTTTGCGGCATGAACAAGAGCAAGTGCGATGATTCAGACTTTTGTTTGACCACTGGCCTTGTGACCTGGTTCCACGAAGAGAGAATTCCGGTGTGAGCTCCCCGCTCCGCCGGTCGTGCGTTCCCGAACGCTTGCTTCGGGGACCAATCAGTACAGTTCATTTTAATGCAGTGATTTACGACAGTTTCAGTAACCTGTGCAGGAAGAGTAGCTATCCGGCTATCCAGCGGACAAAATGACACGAGTGTGAGTCACCGTGAAATGACCGCAGGCGATAAAGCTGCGCGCAGCACTGATTGAGACTGGTTCGTACGTTGTACGTATGTATGTTGAACATCTTTGACACCACGTAGCCAACCGTGCTAACCGGAGGTGTGGGGGAAGGACAGCAAATGTAACACAAGAAATGAGTTTTCAGTCTAGATTTAAAAGTGCTAAGCTCCAGTGGCTTCCGAATAGGAAACTGTAGGAGGTTCACAGGGAGAGATGTCATCGGGGTTCTTTACCTCTCCGCACCCTCTTCCTGTTCTGTCACTTCCCACTGGACCTGTTCCACTATCGTCATCAATTGTCAACCTTCATCCATCATAACCACAGTTGGCTACGTACGGTGCGAAATTATACATTCATTATATATTCATTACAACTTTATTACCACCTTCATGATCCTCTGCATCATCATCGTCATCATCAAGTTCCAATCATCTTCAATAATAGTCCAACTTGGATTCATGCAGCATCTACTGTAAATGCAACTGTATTTGAAGGCACTATGTAGAAAAACAGTGGAAATATTTATTTTATGGAGAGAAAGCGTCAGAGAAAGAGATAAAGTATTAAAAAAGCAACATCTTGAGCCTGGATGTGAACCTAGGCATGGAGCAAGGATGGCTGGGGAAGGGAGATCCAGACTCGGGAGCAGCATAAGAAAATGAGCGACCTCCCACTGAGTAAAGGTAGTCTTGAAACATTGACAGACTACCTCTGTCTCTGGAATGGAGAGTGCATCGAAAGGAGTTGAATTGGGATGAGGGGGGAGGGGTCGGCAGGAGCGAGTTCACGAAAGATCTTGAAAGATAGTAAATGCAATCTTAAAATTGATGCTGGATTTGCTTGAGAGCCAGTGGAGGGATTGCGGTGTTGGGGTGATGTAGTCTTGTTTGTAGATGCTGGCGAGGATTCTCCCAGCAGCAAGATCATCTGGAGTAGGCATGTTAAGAGACTACTGGTAGACATTCTCATAATCGATTACCGGTTCCAATAGTCAGATACTAGGAACCATTTCCTGTGCAATTAGTAATTAAAGCACTGGTTGGCACGCGTGGCCATCTTACAGCACCTAAACTAAACTATACATTTTTTTATTTGAACCTGGTAAGGCTCACTGAGCTATAAGCTCTTTTTCAGAAGCGACCTGGCCACAAATGAAGCTCAACGTAGTGGCTTATCACGTGGACATTTCTAGCAGCCAAATCCTCTCAACGCATGATTTTAAATGTGGAGGGAAAAACTGGAGGACTCGGAGAAAAAAATCCACGTGACCACGGCGAGAGCAAGCAAATTCCTGTACACCACACGATATAGTTAACATCTTTCCACCATGCCTATACCCACGACAGACTTAATTGCACGTGCAGCAAAGCAGCAAGCCTATTTATGGGTTATTACAATGTGGTTACTGGTAGCCGTTGAAGAGTGGCAGTGGTTGAGTGGGGATGCAATGGAGACATGGACGACGAGGCTGCCCGCGACAGCTGGTGTAAGGAGTTGGCATATTTGGGAGATGTTGGTGCAGACTGAGGGATAGGGTGCTGCAGACTTGAGCTACGTGAGAAGAGAACGAGAGATTGGGGTCAATGACAACTAGCTTCACGCGCTTTCGGATGCGCTTCTGCAGTCGTCTGCAACGCTCTTCCTTCCGATATTAGGAAGCCACTGGAGGCTATGCACTTTTAAATAACCCAGATTGAAAACGCATTGATTTAAAACTGATTTTGTGTTTAGTTTGTTGTCGTTCCCCCGCACCTTCGATTACCATGGTTGGCTATGTACGGTGCGAGAGGAATTCAATATACGTACGTCAGAGCTTAGGAAGTGCGTTATCATTCCTCCTGGTATAGTATAAGCCCTGAATGGTAAGACTGCATCATTCGGTGAGAAGTCAGCAGTGGCTTTTTATGCTATGTGTCAGGGACTGCCTGCCACCAGAAATGTGTTCTCTCGTGTTGCTTTGTGAAAATGGAAACTTTGGCATGACTTGCCAAACGCTGTTAAAAATACTGTACCATGACAATACAGTTAGTGTCTCTGCTGCACCGAGACACTGGGCCATGCTCGCCTCTGCTGGTGGTTGGTGCTGGACAATGCGTTTAAAATTCCTGGCGGCCACTGCTGGAAATTCCACATTTCCATGGCAGGAAAGTTGTTAATCCTTGGTTACAGGAAGTACCAATTGTCAGTCTTAAATATGTGGGGCTGGTCTGCATGTCCCCAAATGAACATAACCAACGTGTAAATACGAGAGCACTGGGATGTAATTATATATGATGTCAGCATGGCATTCACTTGTATGGATCCGATTTGGCAGCTCTTGTAAATCTTCACCTCTCAGACTTTCAGAGAAGCCAAGAAAAGAAAAATTAAGGGATTTTTTCCTCCGGCGCCATCATCGATGCGGCTGTGAGGCCGCGTGTGGCTCCGCGTCTCCGCTGCGCCTCTGCTGCCGTCATTAATTGTGCACGGCGGCATGCGGCGATCAAAACGCAACGACGGCGCCTCCACACAAAGCGCGGCCGCGCTCCAAAGAATGTCGCGTTTGCTTGTCGCGTGGAGCTGCCGCCCCACGCAGAGAGTGCTGCAGCTGTCGACGCGAATACAAGCCAAGCGCAGCACATTTTACAAGGCATTCTGTGGATTTATATCGAAGGGGTCAATTACAATGAATTGCGTGACTTGCCTTGGCTCAGAATGAGCTGATCAAGAAAGTGGCTGATGTAATTTCAGCATCACAGTCATCTGCTCACGCGGATAACGTCCCAACCTTGTTCGGTGCCATCCATCTGTGGGCTCCGCCGTTTCTTCTCTTCATGATTTGTTTGTTTTGCTACTCAGTTTATTTCCGGGGCTTTTCTTTCACAGATGACATCTGCGGGTGGTCTGTCCTGCAGGAGGCAGCGTGTTGGATCAGTGCAAGGGGCATAGCACAGCGATGCGACGACATTTTACGAAGCCGTTATCTCCAAGCTCCTGCCACCAGCCTTGCTGCCTTTGCCACTGTCACTCATCTCTGTCCGTGTTGCTCCTCCTCTGTCCCCCCTCTCGCTCGCTTGAACGGAGCCTTGCTTGTTAAAACTGGCCTTCATGCAAAGTGTTGTTCGGTATGTCTGACGTTTTACTGCACGTGCTCGGAGGCTTTTTGAGTGTCGCACAATGTGCGGTACAACCAGAAAAATGTATCAGCGAGCTGTACTATACCGCACAACCGCGAAGCACTTGACGCATCTAGGGAGTAAAAGAGTGCGGCGATGAGTGTGTTTGTGTTTAATTGCACTCTTAATGCTGTCCTTTGCTGCCAACAGGTGCAGACATTGTGCAGTGGCTCACAAAGAACCTGATTATTGATGATCAAGGTGGGAATACATTTTGCATTTAAATGAAAAATTATGCACCGCAGCACGATTGTGTCATGAACTAACATCCTCCGTTGCATTGATGATGACCTCAGTGAGGAGGATTTGTCCCCTGCTTCGTGCGCCAGTCCGAGGCTAAGCAGACTCAGCAAAGACTCGTGTAAGAGACCCCCAGACTCAAAGAGAGACCCATAGACTCACATAGAGACCCATAGACTCACAGAGAGACCCGCAGACTCACATGGAGACCCATAGACTTGCACAAAGATACATACTATGATTCAGTGAAGACTAGCATACAGAATCCATAGACTCACAAAGAGATCCATAGACGCATATAGAGAACAATAGATTTACATAGAGATCCACGCTGCAAGTGTAGTGGATTCGAAATAGGTGAACACACAACTTCTTGGGAGGCAACACTTATTTATTAATTAACACAACAGTTAACTCTTACATTGCGCTTAGGGTGGTGACCACTGACTTACTCTAGCTAACACACACTTCTCAGATACTCTAGGGAGGTACAGCCTCCTGTCTTGGCGGGACTTAACAGTGAGGAAAAAAAGTATTTGATCCCCTGCTTATTTTGTACGTTTGCCCACTGACAAAGAAATGATCAGTCTATAATTTTAATGGTAGGTTTATTTGAACAGTGAGAGACAGAATAACAACAAGAAAAATCCAGAAAAACGCATGTCAAAAATGTTATAAATTGATTTGCATTTTAATGAGGGAAATAAGTATGTGACCCCTCTGCAAAACATGACTTAGTACATGGTGGCAAAACCCTTGTTGGCAATCACAGAGGTCAGACGTTTCTTGTAGTTGGCCACCAGGTTTGCACACATCTCAGGAGGGATTTTGTCCCACTCCTCTTTGCAGATCTTCTCCAAGTCATTAAGGTTTCGAGGCTGACGTTTGGCAACTCGAACCTTCAGCTACCTCCACAGATTTTCTATGGGATTAAGGTCTGGAGACTGGCTAGGCCACTCCAGGACCATAATGTGCTTCTTCCTGAGCCACTCCTTTGTTGCCTTGGCCGTGTGTTTTGGGTCATTGTCATGCTGGAATACCCATCCATGACCCATTTTCAATGCCCTGGCTTAGGGAAGGAGGTTCTCACCCAAGATTTGACGGTACATGGCTCCGTCCAATCGTCCCTTTGATGCGGTGAAGTTGTCCTGTCCCCTTATCAGAAAAACACCCCCAAAGCATAATGTTTCCACCTCCATGTTTGACGGTGGGGATGGTGTTCTTGGGGTCATAGGCAGCATTCCTCCTCCTCCAAACACGGCGAGTTGAGTTGATGCCAAAGAGCTCCATTTTGGTCTCATCTGACCACAACACTTTCACCCAGTTGTCCTCTAAATCATTCAGATGTTCATTGGCAAACTTCAGACGGGCATGTATATGTGCTTTCTTGATCAGTGGGACCTTGCGGGTGCTGCAGGATTTCAGTCCTTCATGGCGTAGTGTGTTACCAATTGTTTTCTTGGTGACTATGGTCCCAGCTGCCTTGAGATCATTGACAAGATCCTCCCGTGTAGTTCTGGGCTGATTCCTCACCGTTCTCATGATCATTGCAACTCCACGAGGTGAGATCTTGCATGGAGCCCCAGGCCGAGGGAGATTGACAGTTCGTTTGTGTTTCTTCCATTTGCGAATAATCGCACGAACTGTTGTCACCTTCTCACCAAGCTGCTTGGCAATGGTCTTGTAGCCCATTCCAGCCTTGTGTAGGTCTACAATTTTTGTTCCTGACATCCTTGGAGAGCTCTTTGGTCTTGGCCATGGTGGAGAGTTTGGAATCTGATTGATTGATTGCTTCTGTGGACAGGTGTCTTTTATACAGGTAACAAGCTGAGATTAGGAGCACTCCCTTTAAGAGTGTACTCCTAATCTCAGCTCGTTACCTGTGTAGTGGTTGAACTTTACACGAACAACTTTTGTCTTTCTTCAACCACTTCTTTATTTTCATCGTCTAACACGTTCTCCACACTCCATCGTATTCTGGACACCGCGGCTCGCTCGCCGTGCTTCGCCCGTCTCGCTCACCACCTTGGTTCCCAGTATCACGTCGCTTTGCTCCGCACACACGTCTTCAACTCTATTCCTACGCTCTCTCCACTGCTGGCTATCCTCCTCAGCTCCTCCGCCATACAGCGTCGTCGCACACAACGAAACCCAATCTCACTTCTCTGTCTCCGCACACCTCGTCTCCAGCTCCTCTATTACTACGCTCTCTCCACTGCTAACTGCTCCGTCTTCTTCAGCTTCGCTATCACTATGCTCACTCCACTGCTAACTGCTTCGTCTTGCTTCAGCTTCGCTATCACTATGCTCACTCCACTGCTAACTGCTTCATCTTGCTTCAGCTTCGCTATCACTATGCTCACTCCACTGCTAACTGCTTCGTCTTGCTTCGGCTTCGCTATCACTATGCTCCAATTCTCTTCTAAACTCTGTTTCTGAACTCCACGTCTTCACCGCACAGCTCCCAACTCCAATCTCCCCCTCTCTCTCTGTCTCCCCCCAATTTATCCCCATTCTCATTATCGCTAATTAATTGGTCCGCGTGCCTCCGCACGCCTCGCGTCTTCAACCACCTCCCTTTTTCCAGACACCTCGACGCCTCCTCGGCCCCAGCAACAGCTCCAACCAATCACAGCCCTTCTGTCTTAATTGGCCCGACCGTTACCTCATCACCCCAGCCTCTTCACCTGGCTGTCCTAACACGACCCCACTGTGTCCGCCGTCTCCTCAGGCTGACCCCAGATAAACCCCACACTGCCCGTGTGATCAATACACTCGCGCAGTTTCCCCAGCACACCTTCCTACTCCACTACACCTGTATAAAAGACACCTGAGAGCCAGAAATCTTTCTGTTTGAGAGGGGGTCAAATACTTATTTCCCTCATTGAAATGCAAATCAATTTATAGCAATTTTGACATGCGTTTTTCTGGATTTTTTTTGTTATTCCGTCTCTCACTGTTCAAATAAACCTACCATTAAAATTATAGACTGATCATTTCTTTGTCAGTGGGCAAACGTACAAAATCAGCAGGGGATCAAATACTTTTTTCCCTCACTGTACACGTCTACCGCTATCCTAGATCCTCCGGCTGGGACCTACACACGGATCTCTTCTTGGCGTCTTCACGATGCATCTTCATTCTTGATACGGGCAGCCTCGAACCTCGTGAGGAGGCTGCTTATATGGGCCTCGGCGTGCCCGGGCCCCGCCCCGGCCACGCCTCCCTTCGAGAACCCTCTCGAAGCCCCTCCCCCTGCTGTCCACGTGCCTCCCGAGGTGCCCCCTAGGCACAGCCCCCCACTGGGGTCCAGTCCCGTGTCCAGCCGAGGTCACAGAGAGTGCCACGACCTCACACCACCCTCGTGGCCTCCTGAGTCCAGAACTGGCTCTGACGTCATTCCCGCCCCCTAGCCGGGATGACGTCATGTGTGTGTGTAGGCCCGCGTGGTAGTGACGCTCCCCCGCATAGTGACGTCACACGTGTGCGTGTGTACACAGTGGTGATGCTACAATCAAAACAACCCCCTACCTCCTCGCAGTGCCGGATGGGCAACTCTGTCGTGGACAGTGTTGTGGGGGGAGGTCCAATTCCAATTGGCTCCTCCCCTCATGGCATCTGTGTCCACCACAGTGGCTAAACGGGGGCTCTGGACGGGTGCGAGGGGCTGGTAACCCCTCCGCCTTCAATTAATTACCACTAAACCACGAGTTAAACTGAAATATGTAACTAATAAGCTTGTGCCGGAGGCCCCGGGGGGACAGGCGTCTATGACGTCTTCTGGCCAAACCCCAATTGGCGGAGCCAGGAGATTGAATCTCTACCCTCGGGGCTCCTCCAGAAACAACGAAAAGCCACTACGGATGGCCACGTGGAATGTTCGAACACTCACTGCGGAGGAGAGGCTGCCACTCCTCTGTCGGGAGCTGGACCGGTACCGCCTGGATCTCTGTGGTATTCAGGAGGTCCGGTGGACCGGTTATGGCTCCTGCCACCATGAGGGGTGGACAGTCCTCTACTCGGGGCAGCAGACTGCCAAACAACAGGGTGTGGCTCTTCTTTTGAACAAAAGAATGAATGGGGCGTGGGAGCGTGGCGGTGAGGTGTGGGAAGCTGTAAGCCCCAGGCTACTTTGGGCTCGCCTTCCCATCAACCGGAGGCGAGGAGTGGTGGTCGTGGTTACTTATGCCCCCACCGAAGACGAACATCCGTGGAGGGATGCAGGCAAAGCCGATGAGTCAGATGCCTTCTATGACCTCCTGTCACAGGTGCTGGCTAAAGTGGCACCTCGGGATAGAGTCATCATGTTGGGTGACTTCAATGCCCGAGTTGGTCATGATGCTGGCACCTGGTCTGGAGTAATTGGAGGGCATGGGCCAGATCAGCACAATAACAACGGTAGGAGGCTGCTAGATTTTTGTGCAGCCAATGGGCTTGTAATTACCAACACGCTGTTCTGGCATCGGCGCATCCACACAACATCATGGATGCATGCTGGGTCCAAGCACCAGCGGATGCGAGCCCATGTCCTTGACACCAGGACCTACCGTGGAGCTGATCTGCCCTCTGACCATCGACTAGTCATCTGTAAGATGCGCCTGCCATTCTTCCACTGCGGTGGTGGGTGTACACCCAGGACCCCATTCCAACCTAAAGTGGCCTGGTCTCAGTTATCTGTTGAAAGTTGCAAGCGAGAATTTCATCATCGCTTGCGGCTGGGATTGGCATCATCCCCAACTCCTCCTGATGTCGAGGGTAAATGGGCGAGGTATAGGACTGTGACTCATGCAGCTGCAATGGCTGCTTTGGGTACGCGGTCCAGACCTCCCCAGAGACCCTGGCTGACAGAGGAGGTGTTCAGGATGGTTGAGAAAAAGCGACAGGCCCACTGTCATCGGCTACAGAATCCCACGTCAGAGAATGAGGAGGCTTACCGCAGCCTTCGCTCGGAGGTTCGGAGAGCCGTGAGGCGCTGCAAGGATGGGTGGTGGTTGCAGGTTGCTGAGGAGATGGAGTCTGCCTCAGCGGCCCGCGATCACAAATCTCTATTTAACTCCATCAAAAAAGTAACCTGCAGCGCCACACCTATTACCATCATTAGGGGAAAAAACGGTGATCCAATCTCCGACCCCCAGGAACAGGTTTGCAGATTTGCTGAGCATTTCTGTGAGGTCCTGGGGGAGGGAAAACCCCTCAGCCAGGAAAACATGGTGGCACAAAGTAAGGATGACCCTGCTGAGGCTGCGGTGCCTCAAATATTGGAAAAAGTCACCCCCTGTGAGTGGCTGGCTGAGGTGCCATCTGTTGAGGAAGTACTGAAGGCGATCCGGAGTCTGAGACCAGGAAAGGCAGCGGGCAGAGATGATCTCCCAAGCGAAATGCTGAGGGAGGGTGGCGTTTGTGCACAGACTGCCCAATATGACATCATAACAACAGTCTGGACCACTGGATGGGTTCCGCAGGATTGAAGGATGCCCTGGTGGTCCCCCTCTTTAAGAAGGGGACCGCACAGACTGTAACAACTACAGGGGCATCTCACTCCTCAGTGTGCCGGGAAAGGTCCTGGCAAGGATTATTCAACATCGCCTTGCCAGGCACGCTGAGGAGAGGCTTGCGGAGCCCCAATGCGGTTTCAGGAAAGGGTGGTCATGCACAGATGCCATATTTTCTGTCCGTCTGCTACAGCAGAGGTGTAGGGAATTCCAGCAAGACCTACATCTCTGCTTTATTGACCTGGTCAAGGCCTATGATACCATCAGCAGGCCTGGGCTCTGGGTTGTTCTTCGTGCTTTTGGAGTACCTGACCCTCTGCTCACGATCATTAAGGACCTTCATGATGGTGAGCGGGCCCGGGTAAAACTACGTGGCCGGGAGTCCGAGCCATTCCCTGTACACCTTGGGGTGCGACAGGGATGTCCTCTGGCTCCCACATTATTTAACTATTTTGACCACGTAGTTCGTGAAGCCCATACCTGGGCAGTGTGCTTATGACTGGCTCCAGTTTAACAGCAGAGGTGTCACTCCGAATCAGTCGAGCGGCAATATCTTTTCATCGGTTGCATAACGCTGTATGGAAGCTACCTGGTCTGTCGCTCGGCACTAAGTTTCAGGTCTTCTCGGCCACGGTCATTCCCTCCCTTCTCTACGCCTGCGAAACGTGGACCCCCTTAATGGAACATCTTCGCCGGTTAGAAACATTTAGGCTGGCCTGCTTACGATCCATCCTGGGTTTAACCAGGCTGTATTGTGTGAGGAGTGCACAAATCCTTGAAAGATCTGGGCAAGGTCCCATCGGTGAGCTCCTCCGGCAGGCAAGGCTGCGTTGGCTGGGTCATGTAGCTTGCATGCCCAGCCACCGCATGCCGAAACAGCTTTTGTTCGGCCGGATCGAGGGGGCTAAACGGGCGCGGCACGGGCTAGAGAAGAGATGGAGTGATGTGGTACAGGAGGACGTGGAGCTGAGTGGACTTGCCGATGACTGGTACCAGCGGTGTCAAGGTTGGCCTCTGTGGGAGGAGGCTCGTGAAGAACGCTACTGGGCAGTTGGAGGCAGTCGCCCTCCAACAACGGAGGGCGGAGGAGCGACGCTCACAACAACGAGCGGAGCGCCGGGTGGCTAAAGCACAGCAGGTTGGCACAGTAGGGGGCACAGGTGGTGCATCAGCCAGTCATCTCAGTCAGTCGACCCATGGCACCTGGGTCTGCCCCGTGACCTCCTGCCAGCGGGCGTTCCACACTTCACGTGGCCTCAAGGTGCACATGGCCTGGCACAAGCGTCGTGGTGACGTCACCGCCACTTAGTGGCGAATGGCGGTTGTTGTTGATGCTACAATCACCACTACACAAGGTTAGCCCTAGTTCCGTGTCGAAAGCCCCTTGCGTCGACGTCACAGGTGGCAGCAGGGAGGCGGCAATCGTTGTAAGCAGGCTCTGCGTGACGCCGCTCCCTCTGGATTTGGTGTCCGCTTCATGCTGCACAATCCACTCCGATAGCCTACAACAATATCCCAGAGCTGGCTCGGGTTTCACCGTGTACTTGAAACCTCATCTCACCGAGCAAACTTTTGTGCTCCAAAGTCTACAAACTGTTTGGTGTCAGGGTTAACCCTTGCAGAATGAGATGTGGATAATCGTGAAATGTGTGCAATGTTATTCCTGCGCTACGCAGCAGTTTGAGAACAGTCCTTCACTCGTCAGAGGAATCCTCGCCGAATCTAAAGACTCCTTGGACTGAGGGTCCTGCTTGGAATACGTGTTCACTTTCTTACACTGTTGTGTTTTGCATGTGTCAAACAACTATGGTGCCTGATGAAACACTTCGGCCACCGAAGCTAAAAACACCCACAAACCTGTACAAATCGGTCGGCATCTTACTTGTTAAACTGCATTTCTACCGGCGATCTGAGCCCCCCCCCCCCGTGAACCACGGGCCCCCCTACACTGGCTACACCCTCGGCAGCTGCGCTACTGCCTGCGCCACGTCGAGCCGGGTCGCTTGCTCGCATGCCTGACGCGTGCCGCGTGCGCGCTGCTGCTACCATGCAGAGGCGCTGCACGTGGGCACCCTGATGGCGGCCCACGGCTACTTCTTCCCCATCTCCGACCACGTGCTCATGCTCAAGGACGACGGCACGTTCTACCGCTTCCAGGTGCACCCCCCCCAACGTCCCCCTGCCACCCCCCCTCTGCCGCGCGCTATCCCCGTGGCCAGCGCTGGCTGTGGCAGGCAGACACCCGGCAATCGGGAGGGTGGCAGTGTAGAATTTGTTATTTTTTGCCACGGAGGTTCATAGTTGGTAGAGCAAACGAAAAGTTATTCCTGAGGCTGGACTTGAACCAGGGATAAAGAGTCAGCAGCTCTCATGGCCGGGAGTGAGGGGGGTTAAGACATTGGGGCAACAGAGGAGAAGGAGCAATCTCCCATGAAATGAAAGTTGACTGGAGGCTGTGATGGAAAGTCTGGTAGTTGGAACACACTCCCCCGTGTGACCGGAGGATGAGAGGGAAGGAGTAGACACGAGCGAATGTCTGGAGGATCTCGACAACATTGAGGACGGAATTACTGTATAACACGCAGGCTTTTCAAGACCGATATTGTTCGTGATAAAGTTTATTGAGTTAGATCGGATGAATGTAAATCTGTCGTACACCCTCCTCCACCCGACACAGCCAACTAGCAAGGTTTATCACGTGATGAAAACGTGCAATTAGTTATTAGTTCAGCACACCGGTTGTGTTAGAGAGCAAACCCACAACACATTTAAAATTGAGTATGACGTTTCTCTGGTGATTACAACCAGCATCATCAGGCGATTGCCATACAATTCTGGTAATATATTTTTTATTATATGTCAGCACTGACATGCTGGCCTTCATATGAGACTCTTCTCATCGGCGATTGCACCAAAGCAAAACTATTTGCTCAAGGGAGTTGCCTTCTTTGGTGTTGCCTGCAGTGAGCTACTGCACCACAATGGGTTTTTCAATGTGGCTCTTTCTTATATCACTCAGAATAATAATTTGCGTAGTTTTGGTGAATGTAAACAACACAAATAAATAAGCAGACAATGTTTCCTTCACATAACCGTATCTCCACAAAAAAACATAAAAGTTTTTCCTACACAACCCATCAGCCGCACAGCCTTCTGGGAACACTGGATATTAAATACAGCGTCTCATCTTCTTGTTAAAAGTTCTCATACCGTTGGGTCCTATTTTTAGTTGGCGACCTTTGAGCTTTCGATTTAAAGCTTTCGTGACTGCAGGGATTCATCTTCTTGGTTCTTTCGGTAAAGTCACGTAGAATGGAAATAAAATAATGCTCACTCAAGCGCTGTCTTCTGGACAGTCCTGTTCATTCACCTGAAGAAGGCTACTTGTGTTGTGGCCGAAACGTCGTGAGAATTCTATTTTATTATGTTTTATTTTTATTATTTTATTGCCATTCTACGTGACTTTACCGAAAGAACCAAGAAGACCTTTGAGCTCTTTGGGAGCTGAGCCTTATCTGTATTGTTACAGACACCCTTCTTTTGGCCTTCAAACTGCTGGGATCCAGAGAACACAGACTATGGTACGTTGTCTTTCTTCTTCTGGTTCATATATTACAATTTTATTCGCAACTGTCAACTCTTTACCGATGAGATTTCTGCTTGAAATATTTGCCAAGTCTGTGATTAGTACATTGTAGTTTGTGTGTACGAGGAAAGCAGCTCTGGAGAAAATGCATGCACATGAGTGGATTATGCAAACAAATGCACGGGTCAGCCACAAGCGCAAAGTAAAGTTCAAATCCATACCATGCCTCAAGTGCTTTTTGCAACTATAACACCGGGTGAATATGACACAGTGGAGGCCCTTCTGCCAGCTTTGTTGTGAGCAAGAAATTGCAGGGCTGCGCCTTTCCCTTCATAAGTACGGTAATTGAGAAACGAAGGCACCACGTGGGGACTCTGCAGCTGTAGGCGTAGGCGCTGTAAGGCGCCTGCTGCTAGCCAGTCGGAGTCCGCCTCACCGCTTGAACGTCCATGCGTGCCAATCGGTGCAATCATTGTGAACTTTCCAGAGGAAACGGTCGCCGGTTCCTGATGGTTGGAACCGGTAATTAATAATAAACCATGACTTTACACGATCTGAAAATAAGTATTTCGCCACCGTCACCATTTGCTTGAGTGTTAAAAACAAGTCAATGCGCACAAAGCGGCATGAAATGTGCGTGCGTTTAAACTCGTGTGTCGCCACTCTCCCTCTGTGTGCGTGCAGCCGTGTATTTGTGCAAACGAACCATGCAAAACAAAGCTCGTCTCGAGCTCGCCGATTACGAAGCGGTAAGTCACCCGCAAATCTGAAATTTGATAGTTATTGAAAACAGAGAATATTATTGAAACACGTCACTCTGTTTTAAGATATCTGGAACTGTTGTTTATTTCACTTGCATACCGCATTGCTCCCTAAATGCGTCATTAGATACCAAATACTGCAAAGGTTCATCTATATATTGGTTCAACAGAAAACACCGTCTCGCTATGGAGTAGTCAAAGTATTTCTTATAAAATTGGCATTTTACATTTTTTTATAGTTATATCACACCACCTTTTACAATATGTTATCATGTTACATTATTATGAACTTTGTAATCACAGTCGTAATTTTTATAACGCAAACAAGGTTTATTTTTTTACAGGATGTGCATGCTTTTGTATAGCTTTGTGTACGTATAATCTCTATACAAAGTGTAAGCTTCTAATCTTTTTGTACTTAATCCAGATCTCCCTTGCAAAATAGGTATAAATGTAATTCCCATATATTGAAGGCGTTTTCTTATAAAAGCCTCTTAAGGGTTCATTTAGGTCCTGCTTATGACATTGGCACTCTCATCTGCCGTTTGTGTTTTCACAGGAGAGCCTGGCTAGACTCCAGCGAGCGTTTGCCAGAAAATGGGAATTCATCTTCATGCAGGCCGAAGCGCAGGCTAAGTGAGCCTCCAGTTGGTTTTTAACATTCGCCTTTTACATTCGGCCATTCCCCGGAGCGTTTCAATGTTTCCTCTCTGCAGCATGTCTGTCGCCGCTGTATCCGTTGAATGGGGACTCATAATGATCACGTTAGAGCACTGAGTCGGAATTAGGGCTTGCACAGTTGGCCTCAAAAGGGGGCCTCGTCTGGCATTTTACCCCAGGCCTCCAAAAACCTTTCAGCTGACACCGCTGTTCCTGAGTTCGAATCCAGGCAGCCATCAATGTTTAAGCTGGCTTTTCAAGCATTGGGAAGCACTGGTCTTAATACAGTCACAAACAAAGAAAACATGAGTTCACTTGTTTTATTTTCTACTTACTTAGTTTTATCCTAACCCAGTTATGAGTACCAACACATGTATATTGATGGTTGTTAAAACATTGTGACCCACGCAATACAGCGTATGAAGGAGACGCATCGCAGTAAATCCGAGAGTGGTTCTGTGGTGCCGTCTTACAGGCCCATTCAATTGATTTGAGGCTCTGCTGACTGAAGTCCTGGAAGGATATCTTTTTTTCAGATGCCTTGATCACAGCAAGATTTATGATGAAATAAAAAAAATAAACATAAAACGATGAAACGTGATGCAGTTTTATATCCTTCGGATGAACAGCCATTTGTTAAATTTTGGCCCATATTAAATGACAAATAATAAAAACAAAACAGTCTCCAAATTGCTTTCGGAATTCTTTTCCTCTGGTGTAACGGCTTCAATATCTGACTATTTGTGGGTTGCTAAGCGATGCTACAAAGTCACACACATACAGTGAGGAGCGGAGCTTCTTATTAATTTATGTCAGCTCACATGGCCTCATTTTTTGCCCACAGTGTCTCTCAGTAAAGGACCTTGCTCCCCCCTCACCTTGTACTTGTGTGAACATCTGACTGGCATAAGACAATTAATAAACTCTGCCCTGCTGTGCTTTCTCAGACAAAAAAAACCCCAAACATGTCACATTTTCCCAAGGCCGTGGCGTTCACAACATGTGTCATTTCATCCGATTAGAGTCGACAAAAAACGGGACAAGATTGAGAGGAAGATTCTGGACAGCCAAGAGCGTGCGTTTTGGGACGTTCATAGACCAGTGGTAAGTCTTCTTTCCGTTGGGTTGATTTATGACAGGGTGGCAAGCCAGGCTGTTAATGGAGTCTCCACTTAGTTGAGAAATTCGACAGTGCAGAGCAACGTGCGCAAGGAGGCATGCAAGTAAATGGACGTGTGAGCACGCTTCCTCCCACTTCAGTTCTACGCACGTGCCAATCGTGCTTTTACTCAGGATGACATTAATTATTCAGCCCCTCTGATTGCCTGGCGGCAGAGGCAGCGGCCGGCAATCAGAAGGTCGCGAGTTCAAATCCTGGTTGGAGATTGACTCAGCACATCATCCTTATGAGGTCGATAAAATCAGTACCACTTAGTGAGGATGTCAACAGTGGTTGTCCTCTGGATAGCCTTTCCCCTTCCACAGAAATTAGGAATTTCCACTACGAGCTCGGGGCTTTAAAGAGACGAGTACTGCCTCAGTACTCATTTGAGCAGAAATCACTGGCTTTTTAATCTATTGGTTCAGTACAAGATGCTGCTGAAATTTTGTATGCTCAGAAGGCCGTGGAGCCAATGGGTTGTGTAATAAATACTTTTCTTTTCATGGAGAGAGACAGAAGGAGACAAATTGTTCGCTTATGTATGTTGTTATTTATATTGCCCTAAATGAGGCTTCAGTTTATTTTGAGTTATGTTTTTACAACCAGGGTTACTGTTTCAATTAACTTCACTCAATGATTTTTATGAAGATGTTGAGGTCTGCCAGACGATTTCTTTCGTCGTGCCATCCATTTTGTGTTCAACCACCAACGCTGCATGTTGCAACAACCACTGCCTTCTGCTTCTCTCCTCGCACTGCTCGACTTCGAGTGGTTGCTACGAGTTATTGTTGCATATTTCACCTTTGGGCGTGTGGTCAAAGGCCCCAAAACGTTACCGCAATTAAACAAAGCATTTTTGGGACTGGACTGATACAACTGCGTGGACGAACAAAATCTCCGCTGTCCTTGAATCCACTTCTCATTTCTCTCCAACAAAGTGCCACTCTTTACGTTAAAAATAAATAAATCTATATCCTGCTTAAAAATAGAGTTAGCCTGTGCATAATCAATTCATTAAGCGACGACGGAATGACTCCGTGTTGAGTTTCCGTTGTCACGACAACTCGGTTAAAAAGTGGTGAATTCATCTTGTGCCCAGCCTGGCTGTGTGAACACGACGGAGATGGACATCAAGAAATCGTGCCGCATGAAGGACCCACACAAAACCAGAAAGGTGAGCTCAAATCCCCTGGAGCAGTGTTCCTCACTAGTTTTGAGAGTGGGGCCACTTTATCCAACATCAGAGTGTGAGGGCCACCACACATTTGAAACTATTGGGTTTGACAGCACGTTGGGGGGGGGGGGGGGTGTCACGTGTTGTGTATTGTCGGGGGCTGCCCTAAAGGCCAACAGGGGTCGCCCGTGGCCCACGGGCCTTGCAATCAGCCAACTCCCCATTTTCAGATTATCCGAGTTCTGGATTAACCGTGGTTTGTGATAAAATATATATATTCAAGCATGGGCTCGTTTAATTAGTATCTGATCCTCACTCATTGATGGTCCTGTTATCTGTGGGTTTATTAGCAAAATTACTTCACGTCTCCGTGACATAAAAGTTGTGGATATGCCACGGCTAATGGGATGAATCTGCTACGAGTCTCCACTTGACCGCAAAAGAAGTGCAGATGAATAGGAGACCGTTCCACGATGAGGAAAAGAGACAAAAACACGGTCAATTTGTGAAAAATATGGGGGCCCATTTTTTTAAAGATCCAATTGGTCCCATGGAAAATAAAAGTCATGGTTAATAAGGCCACGGATAAGTGGAATTCTGCTGTGTATGTTGCATATTATCAATTCGTTGTGTACATTTGCAAGCAATGGAGGCTGCTACATTCTCCACAATGTCAACAAAGAGAATCGATTCTTGAATGGAATTGCAGCCTGGATCCGTGAAAGATCGATTCTAGAGAGTTGCATGCGAAGCTCTTTTACCCTAGGAATATGGAACACATTTGGCTGGGAACCCGAGACTGTTAACACCCAGATGGCTGCAGCCTGAGAGGCACGGGAGATGGATCGCACGTACACGTCGCACGGCTCACACCTTTCTGGGTCACGTCTAATGATGTCTGCTGGCAGCCTGCTGGGTGGGACAGTGTTCACTAAGCCTCGCTCGCAAGCCTCACAGCAAGCGATTTCGTATAACGAACGTAAACCGAGCAAAAGTAGACCCCAAAACAACTGGTAAGCTAAATGTGTCTGACTTGTCGATTGCTGTGTAATATCGAAGATCAGAGCTCCCTGTTGTGAAACAGTAAGGTTTGATAATACAAACAATGTATGTATATATTGCAGTGCTGCCTGGTTTACAATATAGTGCGTTTAGAAAAAAATATCTACTTGACAAAAGCAGCCTGAGGGTGATGGATCCGTCAGCCTCAATTTAGACGAATGGCTCGGGAAAATATTCAAAAGTGCCACCTATTTGATGATTAGGTCTCTTCAGAGAAAACCTTTCACCTATATGCTCTATTGTAATTCAAATAGGGGATATGAAATGGTAGCTGCTGTCAAATGCATGAAAATCACTGAACAAGGAGTTTTTTTTTACGATGTCACGTCACCAAAGAAAAACGTCCAGAAAATGTTCATTCATAAATATTTTCAAGGCTGAAGCTTTTCCTTTGAATAAGAGACTGTTGATTTCAGCGCATGCAAACACACAAAATACAGTTTAACACGTAGGCTTTCGCGACCAATATTATTCATAATAAAGGTTTTTGGGTTAGATCGCATTTATTTATAAATGTGTCGTAACCCTCCACCACCCGACACGGCCAATCAGAAAAAAAAGTGTCACGTTGACAAAAGACAAATAATTCACTACTTTTGATTTAAAGAATTACTAATCTACAACTCATTACTAATCATAACCAATGACTGATTACTAATCGATTATATCATTACAATACCCCCCCCCTCCGCCTCTAATCACTGCACCTGATATGAGTTAAGTGATGACGTCACCCTGCTGCTCCATATAAAACCGGGAGCAAGCGAGGGCTTTACCATTCTGGCGAATTGCCCGATGATGCTGGATGTATTTACCAGAGAAACGTCGTACTCAAACTGTAAATGTGAATTCACTCTTCAACACACCGGTGGGCTAAAGTAGTGAATTATTTGTCTTTTGTCAACGTGACAATTTTTTTTGCTGATTGACCGTGTCGGGTGGTGGAGGGTTACGACACATTTATAAATAAACGTGATCTAACCCAAAAACCTTTATTATGAATAATATTGGTCGCGAAAGCCTACATGTTAAACTGACATTTTTCCCTCACTGTACATACAACACACACAACAACAGCCGCCATTCCCTACTAAGTGGCAGTGACGTCACCGTGGCGCTTGTACCAGGCCAGGTGCACTCTGAGACCACGTGTTGAAGGCTCGTTGACAGGAGTCATCTCTGACCGAGATGACTGGCAGATGCACCACCTGTGCCTCCAATTGTGCCAACTTGCTGCATTTTAGCTACCCGGCACTCCACTTGTTATGAGCGTGACTCCTCTGTTTTTTTTGGAAGGTAACTGCCTCCAACCGCCCAGTAGCGTCTTTCACGAGCCTCCTCCATAGAGGCTGATCTTGACACTGCTGGTAACGGTCTTCGGCAAGTCCACTCAGCTCCACATCCTCCTGTACCGCATCCATCCCTTCTCAGCCCACCGCACCCATTTTGTCCCCTCTATCCAGCCCAAAGAAGATGATTGGGCATGCGGGCTACATGCACCGGAGGAGCTCGCTGATCAGAATGTGTCGTTTAACCCAGGATGGATCATAGGCAGGACAGCCTGAATGTTTCAAACCGGAGATGTTCTATTAGAACGGTCCACGTTTCGCAAGCAAATAAAAGGGAGGGCATGACAGTGACCAAGAAGACCCTGAGCTTTGAGATAGCTTCCATACAGCATGATGCTGGCCACCCACCCCCTTGTGTTCTGTGCTGGCCTTCATAGGTGCTACTCGCTAACAGGACTTGCCCCAACAGTCTGTTAAGGCTATACCTGGGATTTGTGTCTTTTTGTGTCCCACTTGTCTTATATAGATTTATATAGCGCTTTAATTCAATGCTTTACAGAAATAGAAAAAATGGTACATATGATTGAACTGGTTGAGATAAAGGGTGGCATTATTAGAAGTTGCGGTGGAGATTTTAGTGATATTATTTAGCCGTTTCACGATACCAATCGGTGTTACATTGTATGTACAAAATTGAATGACAAGCGACTGACCTCGGGCGAGTTCTCATGTTTAGCCATCCAGAGTGTTTTACTGCTGCTTGGCACGATGTCCGACATATCGCCGCACTTGCTGGTAGCTTCTTCTGGAGGTAAACGTTGATGAACTGAATGTTTAAGAAGCTCCCGGCACCTGGAGCGAAACGCTGGACATTGTGCTGCATCAGAGAGAGGCTGCACGTCACAACCATGAAACCTCACTTGGCAGTCACCCCATTGCCGTGTGTTTCTTGGGAGTCACCCCGTTGCCGTGTGTTTCTTGGATGTCACCACGTTGCCGTGTGTTTCTTGGATGTCACCACGTTGCCGTGTGTTTCTTGGGAGTCGCCTCGTTGCCGTGTGTTTCTTGGATGTCACCACGTTGCCGTGTGTTTCTTGGGAGTCACCACGTTGCCGTGTGTTTCTTGGGAGTCACCCCGTTGCCGTGTGTTTCTTGGGAGTCACCCCGTTTCCGTGTGTTTCTTGGGAGTCGCCTGGTTGCTGTGTGTTTCTTGGGAGTCACCTCGTTGCCGTGTGTTTCTTGGGAGTCGCCTCGTTGCCGTGTGTTTCTTGGGAGTCGCCTTGTTGCCGTGTGTTTCTTGGGAGTCGCCTCGTTGCCGTGTGTTTCTTGGGAGTCACCTCGTTGCCGTGTGTTTTTTGGGAGTCACCCCGTTGCCATGTGTTTCTTGGGAGTCACCCCGTTGCCGTGTGTTTCTTGGGAGTCACCCCGTTGCCGTGTGTTTCTTGGGAGTTGCCTCGTTGCCGTGTGTTTCTTGGGAGTCACCTCGTTGCCGTGTGTTTCTTGGGAGTCGCCTCGTTGCCGTGTGTTTCTTGGCAGTCACCCCGTTGCCGTGTGTTTCTTGGGAGTCACCCCGTTGCCGTGTGTTTCTTGGCAGTCACCCCGTTGCCGTGTGTTTCTTGGGAGTCACCCCGTTGCCGTGTGTTTCTTGGCAGTCACCCCGTTGCCGTGTGTTTCTTGGGAGTCACCACGTTGCCGTGTGTTTCTTGGCAGTCACCCCGTTGCCGTGTGTTTCTTGGAGTCGCCTCGTTGCCGTGTGTTTCTTGGGAGTCACCCCGTTGCCGTGTGCTTCTTGGAGTCACCCTGTTGCCGTGTGTTTCTTGGGAGTCACCCCGTTGCCGTGTGTTTCTTGGATGTCACCACGTTGCCGTGTGTTTCTTGGGAGTCACCTCATTGCCGTGTGTTTCTTGGGAGTCACCCCGTTGCCGTGTGTTTCTTGGGAGTCGCCTCGTTGCCATGTGTTTCTTGGGAGTCACCCCTTTGCCGTGTGTTTCTTGGAGTCGCCTCGTTGCCGTGTGTTTCTTGGATGTCACCCCGTTGCCGTGTTTCTTGGGAGTCGCCCCATTGCCGTGTGTTTCTTGGGAGTCACCCCGTTGCCGTGTGTTTCTTGGATGTCACCACGTTGCCGTGTGTTTCTTGGGAGTCACCCCGTTGCCGTGTATTTCTTGGATGTCACCACGTTGCCGTGTGTTTCTTGGGAGTCGCCTTTTTGCCGTGTGTTTCTTGGGAGTCACCCCGTTGCCGTGTGATTCTTGGGAGTCACCCCATTGCCGTGTGTTTCTTTGGAGTCACCCCTTTGCCGTGTGTTTCTTGGATGTCACCACGTTGCCATGTGTTTCTTGGGAGTCACCTCATTGCCGTGTGTTTCTTGGATGTCACCACGTTGCCGTGTGTTTCTTGTGTTTCTTGGGAGTCACCCCGTTGCCGTGTGTTTCTTGGAAGTCACCTCGTTGCCGTGTGTTTCTTGGATGTCACCACGTTGCCGTGTGTTTCTTGGGAGTCGCCTCGTTGCCGTGTGTTTCTTGGGAGTCGCCTCTTTGCCGTGTATTTCTTGGATGTCATCACGTTGCCGTGTGTTTCTTGGGAGTCTCCCCATTGCCGTGTGTTTCTTGGGAGTCACCCCGTTGCCGTGTGTTTCTTGGGAGTCACCCCGTTGCTGTATATTTCTTGGATGTCACCACGTTGCCGTGTGTTTCTTGGGAGTCACCTCGTTGCCGTGTGTTTCTTGGGAGTCACCCCGTTGCCGTGTGTTTCTTGGATGTCACCACGTTGCCGTGTGTTTCTTGGGAGTCACCCCTTTGTCGTGTGTTTCTTGGGAGTCACCCCGTTGCCGTGTGTTTCTTGGATGTCACCACGTTGCCGTGTGTTTCTTGGGAGTCACCCCATTGCCGTGTGTTTCTTGGGAGTCACCTCATTGCCGTGTGTTTCTTGGATGTCACCACGTTGCCGTGTGTTTCTTGGGATTCGCCTCGTTGCCGTGTGTTTCTTGGCAGTCAGCTCTTTGCCGTGTGTTTCTTGGATGTCACCACATTGCCGTGTGTTTCCTGGGAGTTACCCCGTTGCCGTGTGTTTCTTGGATGTCACCACGTTGCCGTGTGTTTCTTGGGAGTCGCCTCGTTGCCGTGTGTTTCTTCGATGTCACCACGTTGCCGTGTGTTTCTTGGGAGTCACCCCGTTGCCGTGTGTTTCTTGGATGTCACCACGTTGCCGTGTGTTTCTTGGGAGTCACCCCGTTGCCGTGTGTTTCTTGGGAGTCACCTCATTGCCGTGTGTTTCTTGGATGTCACCACGTTGCCGTGTGTTTCTTGGGATTCGCCTCGTTGCCGTGTGTTTCTTGGCAGTCAGCTCTTTGCCGTGTGTTTCTTGGATGTCACCACATTGCCGTGTGTTTCCTGGGAGTTACCCCGTTGCCGTGTGTTTCTTGGATGTCACCACGTTGCCGTGTGTTTCTTGGGAGTCGCCTCGTTGCCGTGTGTTTCTTCGATGTCACCACGTTGCCGTGTGTTTCTTGGGAGTCACCCCGTTGCCGTGTGTTTCTTGGGAGTCACCTCGTTGCTGTGTGTTTCTTGGATGTCACCACGTTGCCGTGTGTTTCTTGGGAGTCGCCTCGTTGCTGTGTGTTTCTTGGATGTCACCACGTTGCCATGTGTTTCTTGGGCGTCGCCCCGTTGCCGTGTGTTTCCTGGGAGTCACCCCGTTGCCGTGTGTTTCTTGGATGTCACCACGTTGCCGTGTGTTTCTTGGGAGTCACCCCTTTGCCGTGTGTTTCTTGGATGTCACCACGTTGCCGTGTGTTTCTTGGGAGTCACCTCGTTGCCGTGTGTTTCTTGGGAGTCACCTCATTGCCGTGTGTTTCTTGGATGTCACCACGTTGCCGTGTGTTTCTTGGGAGTTGCCTGGTTGCCGTGTGTTTCTTGGCAGTCACCTCTTTGCCGTGTGTTTCTTGGATGTCACCACATTGCCCTGTGTTTCCTGGGAGTTACCCCGTTGCCGTGTGTTTCTTGGATGTCACCACGTTGCCGTGTGTTTCTTGGGAGTCGCCTCGTTGCCGTGTGTTTCTTCGATGTCACCACGTTGCCGTGTGTTTCTTGGGAGTCACCCCGTTGCCGTGTGTTTCTTGGGAGTCACCTCGTTGCTGTGTGTTTCTTGGATGTCACCACGTTGCCGTGTGTTTCTTGGGCGTCGCCCCGTTGCCGTGTGTTTCCTGGGAGTCACCCCGTTGCCGTTTGTTTCTTGGATGTCACCACGTTACCGTATGTTTCTTGGGAGTCGCCTCGTTGCTGTGTGTTTCTTGGATGTCACCACGTTGCCGTGTGTTTCTTGGGAGTCACCCCGTTGCCGTTTGTTTCTTGGATGTCACCACGTTGCCATGTGTTTCTTGGGCGTCGCCCCGTTGTCGTGTGTTTCCTGGGAGTCACCCCGTTGCCGTGTGTTTCTTGGATGTCACCACGTTGCCGTGTGTTTCTTGGGAGTCACCCCTTTGCCGTGTGTTTCTTGGATGTCACCACGTTGCTGTGTGTTGCTTGGGAGTCACCTCGTTGCCGTGTGTTTCTTGGATGTCACCACGTTGCCGTGTGTTTCTTGGGAGTCACCCCGTTGCCGTGTGTTTCTTGGGAGTCACCTCGTTGCCATGTGTTTCTTGGATGTCACCACATTGCCGTGTGTTTCTTGGGAGTCGCCTCGTTGCCGTGTGTTTCTTGGATGTCACCGCGTTGCTTTCTTGGGCGTCGCCCCGTTGCCGTGTGTTTCTTGGGAGTCACCTCGTTGCCGTGTGTTTCTTGGATGCCACCACGTTGCCGTGTGTTTCTTGGATGTCACCACGTTGCCGTGTGTTTCTTGGGAGTCACCCCTTTGCCGTGTGTTTCTTGGGAGTCACCCCGTTGCCGTGTGTTTCTTGGATGTCACCACGTTGCCGTGTGTTGCTTGGGAGTCAACTCGTTGCCGTGTGTTTCTTAGATGTCACCACGTTGCCGTGTGTTTCTTGGGAGTCACCCCGTTGCCGTGTGTTTCTTGGGAGTCGCCTCGTTGCCGTGTGTTTCTTGGGAGTCACCCCGTTGCCGTGTGTTTCTTGGGAGTCGCCTCGTTGCCGTGTGTTTCTTGGGAGTCACCCCGTTGCCGTGTGTTTCTTGGATGTCACCACGTTGCCGTGTGTTTCTTGGGAGTCGCCTCGTTGCCGTGTGTTTCTTGGATGTCACCACGTTGCCGTGTGTTTCTTGGATGTCGCCTCGTTGCCGTGTGTTTCTTGGATGTCACCACATTGCCGTGTGTTTCTTGGGAGTCGCCTCGTTGCCGTGTGTTTCTTGGATGTCACCACGTTGCCGTGTGTTTCTTGGGCGTCGCCCCGTTGCCGTGTGTTTCTTGGGAGTCACCTCGTTGCCGTGTTTCTTGGATGTCACCACGTTGCCGTGTGTTTCTTGGATGTCACCACGTTGCCGTGTGTTTCTTGGGAGTCACCCCTTTGCCGTGTGTTTCTTGGGAGTCACCCCGTTGCCGTGTGTTTCTTGGATGTCACCACGTTGCCGTGTGTTGCTTGGGAGTCACCTCGTTGCCGTGTGTTTCTTAGATGTCACCACGTTGCCGTGTGTTTCTTGGGAGTCACCCCGTTGCCGTGTGTTTCTTGGGAGTCACCTCGTTGCCGTGTGTTTCTTGGATGTCACCACGTTGCCGTGTGTTTCTTGGAGTCGCCTCATTGCCGTGTGTTTCTTGGCAGTCGCCTCTTTGCCATGTGTTTCTTGGATGTCACCACGTTGCCGTGTGTTTCTTGGGAGTCGCCCCGTTGCCGTGTGTTTCTTGGGAGTCACCCCGTTGCCGTGTGTTTCTTGGGAGTCACCCCGTTGCCGTGTGTTTCTTGGGAGTCGCCTCGTTGCCATGTGTTTCTTGTTGCCGTGTGTTTCTTGGGAGTCACCCCGTTGCCGTGTTTCATCACAGTCGGTCTACGGTCTCCAAGGCGACTCGCACTCCCAGAGTCCCACGCACGCTCTACCTGTCGACGCCAAGCCCCCCACGGAGGACGAGCTGAGGACCCAGGCGAGTTCAACCATTATCTTCTCATTGTCCATGGGGTGGGCTTTCTGGGTTATGGATTAACTTTTCCTGCATTTTCTTTTACATTTTTATTTCGACTCAACGCGAGCTCGGGACAAATCACCTATCACCGAACAAGTAGAAGCGAGCATAGATCCTATCAGAAATAGGGGAGTCTCTAGCAGAACATTTTTTTATTTTAAAATATCTTTACATGCTTTTTTTATTACTAATACTTCATGTTAAAGTGCTAAAAGGAGATTCAGGTCTCAGTAAACGCTGCAATACGTTGCCCACAGCCGTTATAGATCCCTTCGTTCGCTCCTATTGGTTGGGACAATCCCCTTGCAGTGTGCTAATCTGAGATGGTGAATAGTTCAATGTGAATGTGCAGTTTTATTGAGGGACTGTATGTTGTTGTCTTGGTGTGGTCTGGAACTGTTTTTGCTGTTGTTTTGCTGCCTTACCAAACCTTTGGAATTTATGTACTTATACAATTTGAGCTTATATACTTTATTTACATATATGTATTTTTTATTTATAGTGATTTTCTCAGCTTTCGTATACTTTGCACTCCTATTGATTGATTTGTATTGTTTGTTGTTGTGACTTTATGACTCGCCCCTATTGGACATCTTTGAAAAAGGGCTTCAAGAGCTCATCGGATTTTTCCAGTCTAGATAAATATTTTGATTCTGAGTACAGTTTCCATTTATGCTGATGCCATTATGTCTCCAATGGAATTTTTGGAAAACGTCTTTTGACGTCGCTGCTGCGCGAATAGTGTTCAGTGAAGAGCACACCTCCTCATCTGACTTGGTGTTTAATTGGTACGTTGTTGCTATCTTCACGCAGTTGCAGTGTAGCTGCTCTATCCTAATAACTGGTTTCTGTAATATCTGAAATAAACGATTAAACTAATACAATATTCAGGCAGCTACATTCTCTAGTCAAACACCTGCTTTATTGTCTACAAAAGCCAGTCATCATGAATGGTCATCATTAGACCTCCTTTGCCAGTACCAAAATGTAATAATAGGGTTTTTCCTCTTTTTTTCTGGCAACAAAACTGAAACCTTTTTACGAGGATTCATGTCTGCATTAACCACAATACCTGCAGTCAAATACCTGCAGTCAAATGCATTTTGATGCATTTTGACAGCAGGTATTGTGGTTAATGCAGACATGAATCCTAGTAAAAAGGTTTCAGTTTTGTTGCCAGAAAAAAAAGGGGAAAAACCCTATTATTACATCATGAATGGTCTTCTTTGGTTCTTTCGGTAAAGTCACGTTGAATGAGAATAAAATAATAAATTGATAAAATAACACAATAAAATCTCACGACGTTTCGGCCACAACACAAGTGGCCTTCTTCAGGTGAAAGGAACAAACCTGTCGGACGACTTTACCGAAAGAACCAAAGAAGAGGAATCCTTGCAGTCACGAAAGCTTTAAATCGAAATTTGGCGGACCTGTTTTTCTGAAGTATTTCTGCTTAAACTCTGCAGATCATCTTTCTCAGGGGACAACTCGACCGACACTGCATGAAGATGTCAAAGGTTGCAGAGAGGTACGACACCGTCACACACGACACCGTCACACAGGACACCGTCACACACGACGCCGTCACACACGACACTGTCACACACAACATTGTCACACACGACATTGTCACACATGACACCGCCACACACGACGCCGTCACACACGACACCGCCACACACGACACCGTCACACACGACACTGCCACACACGACACCGCCACACACGACACTGCCACACATGACACCGTCACACACGACACCGCCACACACGACACCGTCACACATGACACCGTCACACACGACACCGTCACATACGGCACCGTCACACACGACATTGTCACACACGACACCGCCCCACACGACACCGTCACACACGACACCGTCACACACGACACCGTCACACACGACACCGTCACACATGACACCGTCACACATGACACCTTCACACACGACACCGCCACACACGACACCGTCACACACTCCACCGTCACACACGAAATTGTCACACACGACACCGTCACACACGACATCGTCACACACGGCACCGTCACACACGGCACCGTCACACACGGCACCGCCACACACGACACCGTCACACACGACACCGTCACACACGACATTGTCACACACGACACCGTCACACACGACATCGTCACACACGACACCGTCACACACGACACCGTCACACACGACACCGTCACACACGACACCGCCACACACGACACCGTCACACACGACACCGTCACAAACGACACCATCACAAACGACATTGTCACACACGACATTGTCACACACGACACCATCACAAACGACATTGTCACGTCACACACGACACCGTCACACACGACATTGTCACATGACACCGTCACACACGACATTGTCACATGACACCGTCACACACGACATTCTCACACGACGCCATCACACACTATTCGGCGCTCGCCCCTCTGGTCCTGCCACTAAAGCAGCGATGGTCGCTGCTGACGTTATCGCTGTGTAACCACCAGCAAGCAAGGATTGTGCTTTAATAATATTATTTCGCTTTAAGTCAAGGCACGTATTATTTCATGATAATTTAATATCGCTGCACTTACGATAAAATCACTTCCCCAGTGACGGAAAGTTCCATCCAGAATGATCATATATAAATAAATGATGAAACATTATTTAAAAGGATTCATACTGTGAGTGTGAACATGCATTGTCCTTTAAAGTATGCCAAATGATGGACAACTATGCTGCTAGACTATAGTTTCAGTTGATTTTGTTGTTATTATCCACTAGAGTAGCTCAAGTGGCGAAGCACTACCCTCATTGTCATCATTATTGTCATGACCATGGTGCCGATTCTGAGAATAGTGATGATGGTGGAGATGAAGATACTGATGATGATTATTCTCATGATGATGCCGACTATGAAGATGCAGATGGTGGCATTGATTACACTATGTTATTTCGTAATTGCTTATGCCTAAAAAGTATAGAAAATGGCTATTATTCCCCACAAACTTTGCTTTTGTGACCAGGACAGTGATATTTTGAAATGTACCTATTTTCAATGAGAAAACGGGCGAATTTGTGTCTTTTCGTTCACATAAAGTCAGAAAAAACCAACATATGAATCAAAATTAACATGTATTTACAATAAAGTAACGCAAAAATGACTACAAAAGATTTAGAAGTGAGTAGTTTTTCGACATTTACGATTATACTGTAAATCAATTTCATGAGTCAGTCCCCAAATATAATCTCCCATCATGTTCTCGTTATACTGTCCTTGGTAGCGGCGTTCAAAGTCCAGTATATCCTGGTGGAAGCGCTCGCCTTGCTCCTGCGAGAATGCTCCCATGTTCACCTTGAATTTATTCAGATGAGCATCAAGGATATGGACTTTGAGGGACATCCTACAGCCCTTTGTGCCGTAGTTCTTCACCAGAATCTCAACCAGATCCACGTAGTTTTCGACCTTGTGATTGACCAGGAAGCCACGAGCCACTGCGACAAAGCTGTTCCAAGCCGCTTTCTCCTTACTAGAGAGCTTCTTGGGGAATTCATTGCACTCCAGGATCTTCTTTATCTGTGGTCCGACGAAGACACCGGCTTTGACCTTTGCCTCAGACAGCTTAGGGAAGAAGTCTTGAAGGTACTTGAAGGCTGCCGACTCCTTATCTACAGCTCTGACAAATTGTTTCATGAGGCCCAATTTGATGTGCAGTGGTGGCATCAGCACCTTCTGGGGATCCACCATGGCTCCCACTTTACATTGTTCCTCCCCACAGAGACCTCGGTCCGCTGTGGCCAGTCCCGCCTGTGGTAGTGCGCCTTGGTGTCCCTGCTGTCCCAAAAGCAAAGATAGCAGCGACACTTGGTAAAACCGCATTGGAGACCCATCAGGAATGCCACCATTTTGAAGTCACCGATGACCTCCCAGCCGTACTCATCATACTTCAAGGCATCCAGCAAGGTCTTCATGCTTTTGCAATCCTCTTTGAGGTGCACCGAGTGAGCCAGAGGAAGAGACTGGTACTTCTTACCATTAGTGAGCAGCACAGCATTGAGGCTCCTGGATGAGTTGTCAATGAAGAGGCGCCACTCATTCTGGTTACAGGCATTTCCAATTGCCTCGAACAGACTGGTCACATTGTGGCAGAAGCAGAGCCCATCTTGACGGGTGAAAAGGCTGCAAAAAGGTTGGTGACGCTTCCTCTGATCTGCGACTTGCACACTTTCATCCAACAAGTTCCACTGCTTGAGCCTAGACGTCAAAAGCTCAGCATTGGACTTGGTGAGACAAAGATCTCTGATCAAGTCGTTGAAGTCTTTTTGGTTGGGGTAGTATGGGTTTCTCTCCACAGCTCCACCTCTGAAATTGTCATCTGGATCTACGTCTTCCTTGCTCTCTGAATTGCTGCTCTCTTCTAAAGACGGCTGCTCTCTCACCGGATAAGTGGGTACGGGGAACTCATGGTAGCGTGGCACCGGGGCGATGGATGAAGGAAGGTCCGATACGTGATAGCAGGTGCATTCTTTCCAGTTCGATGTTTGGAAGGGTCCATCATGCAGAAGTAGCAGTTGCTAGAGTGGTCAGTGGTTTCCCGCCAAATTATTGGGAAAGCGAACTTCATGGCTCTCTTTTCCCCTCTGTACGATCCTACAAAAACATTAATTTCACCCATGACTAATGTGTAAGAGATTCTCGCAACATTTTTCATATATGATATATTTTTTCAATAACATTGAAAATTGTAAAACATTTAAAAATAAAAAAACGTTTACAATTTTTAAAATGTTAACTAATTTTATAACATAAAATTCCGAGAAACAATTGTCCATCTTACCTTCCAGAGTTTTTTTGCATTGCTCACAGGTGACATGAGGTGCCCAGGCTTTATCTTGCCTAAAATGCCTACTTTTCCTCCACTCTCCTGGAATCACATGGAAATGCCAGGATTTTTTGGAAAACAATCAAATCTATCGAAAAGGCATCCAAAACAGACAATTTGCCCGTTGAGCTTAACCGAAATGGGGAATATTTTTCAGATCCCCAAAAAATAGTTGACAATTTTAACCTTCATTTTTCTGAAGCTGGTAATCTTTTTGATAATGTATTGGGAGTCACCCCTGCTCCTGCAAATTCCTACACCCCTGTCCAAACATTAAACGAATTTAGTTTCCAACCAATCCACGAAAGTAATGTTCTGAAACAACTGTCCTACCTCAAAGGTTCCTCCTCTACCGGAGCAGATAGTTTTCCCGTCTTTGCTCTACTAACTGTTGGTCAGCTAATATACAAACCTATAGCCCATATTTTCAACCTGTCCATCAAAGAAGCATCAGTTCCTCTAGAATGGAAACATTCCTATGTCCGTCCACTTCACAAAGGTGGCCCTAAAGATGATCCCAATAACTACCGACCTATCTCAATTTTGTCCCCATTGATGAAAATTTTTGAAAAATGATTGAACTACCAAATTAGCAGTTTCCTGTCCACCAACAATCTACTACATCTAAAAAAATCTGCGTTCCGAAAAAAATACAGCACCACATCTGCTGCATTAGACTCTCTCAATCAAATTTACAATAGCCTTGATAATAAGCAGTACTGTGCCTGTCTTTTTCTTGACCTGTCCAAAGCTTTTGATACAGTAGACCACAACACCCTGCTTAGTAAACTAAGTTGCCTCGGTTTTTCCGAGAACACAGTACAATGGTTAAAAAATTACCTCTTTTCTCGCACCCAAACTGTATTCACAGATGGCTGGAGGTCAAACAGTGTTAAGATAACAAAAGGGGTTCCACAGGGTTCCATCCTCGGCCCCCTCTTGTTCTCTCTTTATGTCAATGACTTGGGCACTGACCTGGATCATTCCAGGGTTAATCTTTTTGCAGATGACACGATACTGATTACTGCTGGCCGCTCTCCGGATGACGTGATTGCTAAGCTCCAGGGTGATTTCAACAAACTACAACATCAGCTAGTTTCTCTTAAACTAGTCTTGAATACCTCCAAAACCAAGGTGCTATGCTTCTCACCGGGACTAAAGCAGGAAGTTATTTTTCCCCAATTACATTCCTTCAATAATTATCAAATAGAGCAAGTTAAGATCTATAAGTATCTTGGGGTCATCCTGGATTCAAAACTTAATTTTGAAGATCACATTGATTATATTGGTAAAAAGACAAAAATAAAAATTGGTTTTCTGCATCGACACAAGCATTGCTTCCCCCCAAATGTTCCGTTTGGAATTGATAAAAGCTACCATATTGCCTCTACTTGACTACTGTGACATCGTGTATAAATCAGCCCCAAGTACTGTACTGAAAAAGCTTGATTCCATCTATCACTCGGCCTTAAGATTTGCATTGAACTGCCCATATAGGACTCACCACTGTGATCTCTACATTGGGTCTAACTTAACATATCTTAATGTTCGACGGCTTGTGCGCCAGATCTTATTTATTCACGATGTACTTAAAAAAAATCCACAGACTACCTACTGGATCTCCTCTCTGTTTCATAGAAGAAATTTGACCTCAGGTCTTCGCTCATCTACCAGCTTCACATTCCCTATTGCCGTACAAAAACCGGAGGAAGGGCCTTTGCTATTCATGCCCCCAGGGTCTGGAATGCTATTGCCAATAAGCTGCAACTTGAATCACTACCTATGAGATCTTCACTCAAAACTGCTCTAGAGGAGTTGTACACCCCTAGCTGCCACTGCTATTCAGTGGCCTAAAATATGGCCCTAGATTTTGGTGTTATAATTTTTTTACGTAGTTTATTGTTAAAAATTTGGTCACAGTCCCTATGATCACTGTTACATTGCATTTATGGCTTTTATTTTGGAGATTTCGAAAAGTTTTTTTTGGTTTTGGCCATGTTTTTATTTATTGTATACGGAGTTAGACTGATGTCCTTAATCTTAGTTGTCTTGTGGTTGTTGTTGTTGTTATTTTGACTTGCATCCCACTGGGATTTTTTGCACACAGCGTTGGTGTACGGTGCTATTTCAGGAATAGTTTTTATGTTTTTTTTCCTGGATTTTCTGTTTGCACAGTCACATAATCACTTTAAGATGTTTTCTTGTTCATGTTTTTTTTTGTTTGTTGCGGTTGCACCCGATTCAAGAGCCGAATGGCTCACAGGGCTATACCAAATAAATTAACTATGAAATATGAAATGAACTATCTTGATCCCCGACAGGCATGCCGAATTATGCCTTGTAGGCCTCACACATCTTAGCAGATGCTTCCACAGAGTAATTTTTCGCTCTTGTCTTGATAAATTGGCCGCAGACATAGCAAAATGCGTCTGCTGGATGCTTGCAGCCTCTCAGAAAAATGCAGATATGTATCCACTTAGGCAGCTGGAACTAAACTGAACTGGTGGGCTTAAGGCCCCTGCATTTATACTACTATTTATATTACTGGAAAGTTCTAGAATGTTCTAGAAGTTGCTCCAAGTTAACTCAGCACTGAATCTATCTGGAATGTTCTGGAAAGTAGGTAAATTTCAAAATATCACTGTCTTGTTCACAAAAGCAAAGTTTGTGGGGAATAATAGCCATTTTCTGTACTTTTGAGGCATAAGCAATTAGGAAATAACACTTACTAGCCAGTAACAAAAAAAATTGTTACACAGTGTAATGATGACGATTATCATGTTGGTGATAATGGTCATGATTTTTAATGGTAATAATCAGAGTTAACCATGTTCAAGATTCAAATTCTCGACCAGGAAGTCTGCTGCTATGCCGGCTGGAACAAACACCTGAGCCAACATATGTTACAAAACATGTGTTACAAAACACGTGTTGCAAAACACGTGTTGCAAAACACGTGTGTTGCAAAACACGTGTGTTGCAAAACACGTGTGTTGCAAAACACGTGTGTTGCAAAACACGTGTGTTGCAAAACACGTGTGTTGCAAAACACGTGTGTTGCAAAACACGTGTGTTGCAAAACACGTGTGTTGCAAAACACGTGTGTTGCAAAACACGTGTTGCAAAACACGTGTTGCAAAACACGTGTTACAAAACATATGTTACGTCACGTTTATTTATGTTCATGCAATATTCTTTGGTTCTTTCGGTAAAGTCACGTAGGTAGAAAAATAAAACAATAAATAATATATCACGACGTTTCCATCGCAACACGAGCGGTCGTCCTCAGGCGGAAAAAATAATCCAGCAGTGGAACTACGGAACCAGGAAGAGAGCTGTTACAACAACAAGAGGTTATTTATGTGGCTTCCAGAGTTTTTTTACATTGCAATATTTTCAATTTATCATGTGACACAGCCTGTGACCCAAGTCACTTGCAAACAAGACTGTCCCGGTCTCTGGACTTCTCACCTGGTCAAACAAATAAACCACTTGACTTGACCTGTTTGTTTATTGAGTTTCTGAGCCAGCTAGCCAGGATTGGGTCAAGAGACCCAGGCAACTGGAGAGCACAGAATAGATATTTCTTGTCTTATTGCTTTAGCAAGTACATATGTGTAAGAACCCACAATAAAAAAAACGCAATTAAGAAGATAAAAATTAAAATGCATACTGTCTGGGGACATGATTCCAATATCCAACTGGGCTGTTTAAAACACTGCCACTGGCATCGCTGATCCATATTTGTACTGTTGTCCTGTGTTGTATTGGTGCTGTGTTTCCATCACAGCCTCATCAGCTACAGGGAGCAGTACACGGAGTACGATCCCTTCCTGACCACGCCTGAGCCCTCCAACCCGTGGATCACGGACGACACCACGCTGTGGGAGGTGGAGGCGAGGTGGGCCCCCCCCTACCCCCGCCCCCCTACGATCTCCGCCCCCCCTACGGTTCCCCCCCCCCTCCTTACGATCTCCCCCTATGGCCCCCGCTACGATCCCAGCCACGACGCAAGCGTGTCCCTCGGAGGGCCGGCCAGCATGCATTGGGTGTAGCATGCCACACCCTGTCACGTGCCTGCAACGTGCTGTGCGTTCCCACCTTTGTCAGATGTCTTTACTGACCTTGACTGGATAATAATTGAAATTAAAAAACAACCCGAAATGTGTGACTGTTTAAGGACAGAGAACAATAATATCCCCACCTGATACCAATGTGCCTGCCGAGTTAGCAAAATAAGTAAATGTAGGTTATATATTGAGTTAATAAATAAATAACTGGCCTTGCCTCTAGATCTCTGTGATTTGCCCATCATTGCATTAACTAAATTTCATGACCACAAGTGGAATGTTAATGGTGAGGCCAGGCAAGGACTCGCGAAGCCATCTGGTTTAAGCAGTCTCACTACGATTAGACCAAAATGTATGGAATGTTTCAGCTGCAGCGATAAAAGCGAACAGGCCCTTTGCGGAAAGACAATAATGTAAATGAAAAGAGGAATCCAATGAGCTATGGAGCTCTTTTACACAGACGTCCTAGCAAATTCCCCTTTGTAAGGGAGACAGATTCAGCTTTTGGATCTCATGCTCAGGGTTCTGGCCATTCCGTAACCAAGCAAACACTCTGTGGTGCTACGGTTCCGTGGGAATTCAGATGCTCTCTCGTTACCTTAAAAACAATACCATCACCTAGGCGAAATGGACATCGTTTATTCGAAGTAGACGTAAATGCTGAAAAAAAATCTCCTCTCAGGGCTAGAAACTGATCAGACGAGGTCTTCGAGTGACTTCCTGGTCAGAAACCTGAGGAAAAATACAGAGAAGTCTCGCTCGGAGTTTGAGTCGGCCAGTAGCAAAGAGCAGCATGATGCGCCACATGACGTATGTACGTATGTGTGTATGTTGAATTTTTTTCGCACCGTACCTAGCCAACCATGCTAATTGGAGGTATGGATATTGTGAACCTGGTTTTTGTACTCACGCGTAGGCTCCACACACGTGAACTCCATGATCAATGCTCCGATGAGGCGTTAGCTTCCTAAGCCACCTAGCCAGCGTGCTCCTCCGTCGTGTTTTAGCTCGGAGTTTGAGGCCACTCACCGCTCACAGGAAGGTGTTCCCGTTGTGCCATGTTGCTGTCTCTTCTTCGCAGCAAAGAGCCGAGTCAGCAGAGAGTGAAGAGGTGGGGCTTCGGCATCGACGAGGCTCTCAAAGACTCGGTGGGCCGGGACCAGTTCCTGCGGTTCCTCGAGTCCGAGTTCAGCTCCGAAAATCTGAGGTGGGAATGTGACTGCAGTGCAGCAAGTAGGCTCTTGTGACGTTTAAAGGAAATAGACGAAAAGTTCCAAGAGGGACCAAAATGTTCATCATCATCTTTCTCATAAGCCATTATCTATCCACTGCTGGAGAAAGTCCCCCCTATGCTGTCGCTATCAGTCATGGTCCCGTGATGCAAAATTCCATCACGAGCTGATCTCATCGCTCTAATCTCTCAATTAGTGGGCACCCTCTGATGCATATTCTCTTTTTTGGTAGCCACTCGTAGCATGTCAAACCCAAGCCTATGTAGTTTTATTAACATGAAATACGATGTCTCTAAATTGCTGTTCCATGCCTTCCTTTCTGTATCTCAGTCTAATTTCAAGCATGCAACTCTTCACGGTTTAAAATTATATTCTTGGTTCTTTCGGTAAAGTCACATAGAAGGGAAACAATAATTCTTTAAAAAATTCTCAGCTTTTTTTCAATATAAGAATGATGGAGAGATAATTCTATTTTACAAAAATAATTCCCGTGCAAACAGTAATTAAATACATTATCGTGTGAAAAATGTGGTTAAACTAATCTCGCCACATTGAGAGATGTTGCCGGGGCTGGAATAGTTCAATGTAAACCGTGAGGCTTTCCCACACATGCCAGCGCATGTCACGAGAGCGTGATAAGTTGCCAGTGATTATACATTCATGCAAATGTGTGCCGCGCTAACGGGTCAAAATATTGGGGTCATTGGCCTCATCCGTCTCAATTACACTCAGTGCTGTTTTCGCGCCCGGCTCGGTGCACGCGGGAAGGTGGTCAGGACGTGCCGAGCATCGCGCACGCGACGAACGCACACTCGCTAACCCTGTAGGTTTAAGCACTAGGGCTGCCAAGTTTGCTTATTTAAAAAAAAAAAAAATCTTTATTCACATTTTCGGACGCATGGTCCATTCCAAGGATAAACCCGGGGTTACAGGTGCATAGAGCTCGGAGTTGGGATTTTCCATCGTTGGCCGTTCGTTTCTTAAAATAAACAGGCGAGAGGTGCAGTAAAAGTTGTGGTGGTGGGGGGGGGTGAAATGTACAGGGGGGGGGGGGTGGCTAACACGTGGGAGGGTAAAGAGCTACGGCGCGCGTTGGCTGAGGGTGGATTTCACGCGGTTAACAAGAAGTGGATTCTGGTGTCACTGTGCCTGAGGGTTCCAGAAATGGAATGGGGGGGTTTAAAATGTGTTTTTTAAGAATGGACCTCACGATCTTTTTTGAAGTCTGCCTCCTTTCCAGGCTGCCGAGTTTTAAACCCATTTAATTCGATGGCTCGCAGAAAAAGCCAATAAAATATATAATGAGTTATTTAAATATATTTTTTTACTTTGGAAAGTGGTATGATTAGCTTTGAAAATCCGTATGTTTCAAGTCATTTTGTCCCGATTTTAAGTTTCCTAGCCATAGAAAAGGGTGGTGAAATCGTTCAGCGGGAGCACGTTTGTCATTAGTTGCAGAGGTTCACAGTTCGAATCCATTGGCCACCCTGATTAATACTGCAGATGTATTCACCGTCGACATACTCTGTGTTATTTGCTTCACAGTGAACGTTACAGATCCCGTGATGCCATTCACAAGCATGGGGCCATTGTGTGCTGGCATCATTATCCAATTTTGAAAACTATCCCACAAATTACTCATTGGGAATTTACACAGCAATCATCATCCCCTACTGCAAAAAATTGGCAGGACCCTCATGAAAAATAGTCCTAAGAGTCGGTGAAGCTTTCCCAGGTAAAACAAGCATAATCATGATGTACCAGGTAAGGCCCACTGAGCTATGCAGCTATTTTTCAGAAGCGACCTGGCCACAAATAATAGCTCAACGAGAAGTGGCTTATCACGTGGACATTTATAGCAGCCACATACTGTAAATGCGTGACGTGGATTCTAAATGTGGAGGGAAAAATTGGAGGACCCGGAGAAATATCCACATGACCACAGGGAGAACACGCAAACTGCAAATATACGGCAGGCGTCAGGGTCGGGGTCGAACCCACGACCTCCTGTATACCAAGCGAGGCAGTTAACGTCTCCGAGCCACCGTGGCGCCCCTGCTCCACATGCTACTACAGCTGTGCGTGTCGGGTTGTGGGTTGACATTGCGCAGATTCTGGCTGGCGGTGCAGGACCTCAAGTGCCGGCCCATGCGGGAGGTCCCCGAACGCGTGCAGGAGATCTGGCGCGAGTTCCTGGCGTCGGGGGCGCCCAGCGCCATCAACCTCGACTCGAAGAGCTACGACAAGACGCTGCAGAACGTCAAGGAACCCGGCCGCTACACCTTCGAGGACGCGCAGGTAACGCACTTGCGGAAATTAGTCCGGTCGTCATCATCGCCATCGTTGTCATCACTGACAACATCGTTTCATCATCCTCGTCATTGTCACCGTGATTGTTGACATCTTTGTCATCGGCATCATCATTGTCACCATCGTTGACGTTTTCACCGTCGCTGTTCGTTGACACCATCGTCTTGCTGTCACCATTGACATTACCCAAGTCATCATCACCATCGTTTGCTGCGGCAGATATCATCAGGACATTGTTATCGTCAGTATGACATGCAGTACTGCGTGCAATAAGGTGACCTGAAGGGGCGATTGTAATGAATCATTAGGTTTTCCTACACAGTCGCTCATTAGTTGTTAAACATGTCATTTTGAGATGTATTTTTACTATTAACTAATTAATATAGGTATAAACACACAACAGTTTAAACGGTTGAGCCAAGTATTGTGAGTGAGAACCAATTAAGGCATTCTCTGATAAAGACCAGTGAGTGTTGACCCTGGTGAGTGTTGACTGGTAGGTGTTGACTGGTAGGTGTTGACCCTGGTGAGTGTTGACCCTGGTGGGTGTTGACCCTGGTAGGTGTTGACTGGTAGGTATTGACCCTGGTGAGTGTTGACCCTGGTGAGTGTTGACCCTGGTGAGTGTTGACTGGTAGGTGTTGACTGGTAGGTGTTGACCCTGGTGAGTGTTGACCCTGGTGAGTGTTGACCCTGGTAGGTGTTGACCATGATAGGTGTTGACCCTGGTAGGTGTTGACCCTGGTAGGTGTTGACTGGTAGGTGTTGACTGGTAGGTGTTGACCCTGGTGGGTGTTGACCCTGGTAGGTGTTGACCCTCGTGAGTGTTGACCCTGGTGAGTGTTGACCCTGGTGGGTGTTGACCCTGGTAGGTGTTGACCCTGGTAGGTGGTGACCCTGGTAGGTGTTGACCCTGGTGAGTGTTGACTGGTAGGTGTTGACCCTGGTGAGTGTTGACCCTGGTGCGTGTTGACCCTGGTGGGTGTTCACCCTGGTGAGTGTTGACTGGTAGGTGTTGACCCTGGTGAGTGTTGACTCTGGTGGGTGTTGACCCTGGTAGGTGTTGACCCTGGTGAGTGTTGACCCTGGTAGGTGTTGACCCTGGTGGGTGTTGACCCTGGTGCGTGTTGACCCTGGTAGGTGTTGACTGGTAGGTGTTGACCCTGGTAGGTGTTGATCCTGGTAGGTGTTGACTGGTAGGTGTTGACCCTGGTGAGTGTTGACCCTGGTAGGTGTTGATCCTGGTGAGTGTTGACCCTGGTGCGTGTTGACTGGTAGATGTTGACACTGGTGGGTGTTGACCCTGGTGGGTGTTGACCCTGGTGAGTGTTGACTCTGGTGGGTGTTGACCCTGGTAGGTGTTGACCCTGGTGAGTGTTGACCCTGGTGCGTGTTGAGCCTGGTAGGTGGTGACCCTGGTGGGTGTTGACCCTGGTGGGTGTTGACCCTGGTAGGTGTTGACTGGTAGGCGTTGACCCTGGTAGGTGTTGACTGGTAGGTGTTGACCATGGTGGGTGTTGACCCTGGTGAGTGTCGACCCTGGTGCGTGTTGACCCTGGTGCGTGTTGACTGGTAGGTGTTGACCCTGGTAGGTGTTGACCCTGGTAGGTGTTGACCCTGGTGGGTGTTGACTGGTAGGTGTTGACCCTGGTGCGTGTTGAACCTGGTGCGTGTTGACCCTGGTGCGTGGTGACCCTGGTAGGTGTTGATCCTGGTGATTGTTGACCCTGGTAAGTGTTGACCCTGGTGCGTGGTGACCCTGGTAGGTGTTGACCCTGGTGGGTGTTGACACTGGTGCATGTTGACTCTGGTAGGTGTTGACTCTGGTGCGTGGTGACCCTGGTGAGTGTTGACCCTGGTAGGTGTTGATCCTGGTAGGTGTTGACCCTGGTGCGTGTTGACCCTGGTGCGTGGTGACCCTGGTAGGTGTTGACCCTGGTGGGTGTTGACCCTGGTGGGTGTTGACCCTGGTGAGTGTTGATCCTGGTAGGTGTTGACCCTGGTGAGTGTTGACCCTGGTAGGTGTTGACCCTGGTGGGTGTTGACCCTGGTAGGTGTTGACCCTGGTAGGTGTTGACCCTGGTGAGTGTTGACTGGTAGGTGTTGACTGGTAGGTGTTGACCCTGGTAGGTGTTGACTGGTAGGTGTTGACCCTGGTGGGTGTTGACCCTGGTGCGTGTTGACCCTGGAAGGTGTTCACTATGGTGGGTGTTGACCCTGGTGGGTGTTGACCCTGGTAGGTGTTGACTGGTAGGCGTTGACCCTGGTAGGTGTTGACTGGTAGGTGTTGACCATGGTGGGTGTTGACCCTGGTGAGTGTCGACCCTGGTGCGTGTTGACCCTGGTGCGTGTTGACTGGTAGGTGTTGACCCTGGTAGGTGTTGACCCTGGTAGGTGTTGACCCTGGTGGGTGTTGACTGGTAGGTGTTGACCCTGGTGCGTGTTGAACCTGGTGCGTGTTGACCCTGGTGCGTGGTGACCCTGGTAGGTGTTGATCCTGGTGATTGTTGACCCTGGTAAGTGTTGACCCTGGTGCGTGGTGACCCTGGTAGGTGTTGACCCTGGTGGGTGTTGACACTGGTGCATGTTGACTCTGGTAGGTGTTGACTCTGGTGCGTGGTGACCCTGGTGAGTGTTGACCCTGGTAGGTGTTGATCCTGGTAGGTGTTGACCCTGGTGCGTGTTGACCCTGGTGCGTGGTGACCCTGGTAGGTGTTGACCCTGGTGGGTGTTGACCCTGGTGGGTGTTGACCCTGGTGAGTGTTGATCCTGGTAGGTGTTGACCCTGGTGAGTGTTGACCCTGGTAGGTGTTGACCCTGGTGGGTGTTGACCCTGGTAGGTGTTGACCCTGGTAGGTGTTGACCCTGGTAGGTGTTGACCCTGGTGAGTGTTGACTGGTAGGTGTTGACTGGTAGGTGTTGACCCTGGTAGGTGTTGACTGGTAGGTGTTGACCCTGGTGGGTGTTGACCCTGGTGCGTGTTGACCCTGGAAGGTGTTCACTATGGTGGGTGTTGACCCTGGTGGGTGTTGACCCTGGTAGGTGTTGACCCTGGTGTCACTGATATATTCCCATGACAACTCGATGACATCTTTGTTCAGACCATGCTAATAAAAAAAGACAAAAAAGCGTCGACTTATAATGTCTAGGCCTGTACTGATTCGTTGGGCAACTATGCATGCATCACTTCATCCGTTTATTATTTGATTACTTACGATCTATTTAAGCTGTATATACATTACATGCTATTGCTACAATGAGGTTAACAGAAAGGATGAAAGTAAATATATGACGAACCAAACGAGCTTCGCAGAAAAAGTGAGACAAATTAAAACAATCGATTCTCTGAGCCATGACCTCCAATCATGACACATCTTCAAATTGCGAGGGGGTTATAACCTGCCTAATAATGCCCTCTTACTGTTAATAAAGCGCATGAAACCCCAAGAAAACATACGCACACATCACTTCATAGCTTAAAGAATAAAAAGGTAAAAATGGTTAAAACCATGCCCTGCAAGTCATTGATGAAGCCACTGAGAGGATATTTGGCCTAATCTTCCACGCTGGTCAGTTTTATTGCAAGAGGTGAGAATACCCACATTTACCCCATTTGATGTAACTAATTGTGGTGTAGCAATGAATGCTGCTGGATCGATAAAGGCGCAGCAGCGGTGGGGGCGGTGTGGATTGAATGAAAACCTGCAATGTTGTTTTAAACCCCCGCTTAAAAAACAAAAACTTGCATCTTAAAAATAAAACACTTTTATAGCAAGTAAAAAAAATGAAAGGAGTGACACGCACAACAGTCGTGCGCTTCCCTCGCGTAAACGTCGTTCGTGTGTTTGCAAAGGCGCCCTTCAATTGAATTCCCACCTCGTGTATTCAACTACGAGCACGAGACGGGCATTTTAATTCTCGAGCATAACGACGCGCTCCTCATTCTCCCGTCGCAGGAGCACATATACAAGCTGATGAAGAGTGACAGTTTCGCACGGTTCCTTCGCTCCAGCGCTTACCAGGAGCTTCTGCAAGCCAAGAAGAAGGTAAACACCACCACTGCCGTTGCTCTCGTGGCTGTAGAACATTTTACTATCATGGTGGGGGATTGGTTGTAAATTAAAACATAAAAAAAGGACACCGTGCGGAAACATTCTTAATTTATACTATCAAATTGTTTATACAGAGCAGTGCACCTCCAGAAACTGTGATATCTTAGTCCACCAAGATGGCATGGGAATGGGCCCGAATGCAATTTTAAGTGGACAACTGGATTTTATTGAATTAGAAATCAAAAGTGAAAGTGAATATACATCACAGTAAAGCTGAGATTAAGAATATTCATGGCAGGGGGTTGGGGCCCACCCACCATTTTTTAAACACATGGGTTAATGTCTTGTCTACAACGAGGAGAGAGGAGCCATCCTGTACATATATAGCCCCTTTGCTGTTCCACTGCTGGATGAGGGCCTCCTCGTGGGGTTATCTAACCATGATGTGGGTTGGTGAAGGCAGGGAACTTAAATGTGGGAGCATCATGGTAAAGTACAAGAATAGTGGTATGGTACGACTGGGCGTGTGTGGTGCTGGCTACCCACCCCATTGTGTGCTGTGCCCACATTCATAGGCGCAACTCGCAACCAGCACTTGCCCTAAAAGTCTGTTAAGGCTATACGGGGGATTTTTGTCTTGGTACAACAATGGATTTTGATGCACTACCCTATGTTGCCACATCGTAGACCTTCAAGCCTATTAGGTGGCTAACCGTCTGGGATCTGATGAGATTGGACGCATTCTGGATGATTTGATCATTGGCCTTAGTCAACATTGGCCTGAAATTCCCCACTCAATATTATTTGATTATTATGCTTGTTTACTCTGGGAAGCCTCACTAACTCTGAAGACTTTTATTCAGGAGGGTCCTGCCAGGTGTTCGGAGTACCTGGACAATCCCATTCGGGTAATGTCCAGGTACATGTTTCAGCATTGGGATGTTTGTCCAATACCAGTTATATTGTAAGTTTAACGTTTTCTTTTGTAGTTATGGGAAAAAAACTGGAGACCCCGGAGGAAACCCGTGCAGAACAGGGCGATATAACTGACTGACTCCACACAGACAGGCTCCCCATCGAGGAATCTAACCCAGGGGTTTCTTGCTATGAGACACAAACGTGACCACCAGCGCGCTGCCACCAAGATGTAGCAGGCGATTAGAGGAAGCACAGTACACTGGGGTTATGATTGTGGAGGAAGGGATGGGCAGTTATGGACGCAGCTCAATCACCAGCTGAAATATTTGTTTTACTAACATTTGTATTTTACCAGGGAAGGCCCATTGAGCTATGTAGCTCCTTTTCAGAAGCAACCTGGCCACAAAGCATAGCTCAACAAAGTGGCTTATGTGAACATTTATAGCAGGCAAATACTGCTATTAATACGCATGTTTCCAAATGTGGGGGGAAAAACTCGAGGACCCGGAGAAAAATGAATATGACCATGGAGAGAACAGGCTAACTTCAAATATACCGGCATCAAGGTCGGGATCGAACCCACGACCACCTGTATACCAGGCGAGGTAGTTAACATCTCGCCAACGTCGCACCCTGAAGCCAAGCACCATCACATTGTAGATGCTAACCGCTACACTACCACTCCCCACACACACACAACACAGGCTGTGAAAATGTTCACATTCGACGCATGAAAATCCGCGCTGGGAACAACTCGCCTGTTGACACGATGCCCGGCTACTTTTTGACATGTGCCGCTTGCCACAGCTGCTGCTGCTGCTGTCTTTCTCGCTTCCTCATTTTTGTTTTCACATTAAGTTTGACTTTGAGCAAGACTGCAGAACTTCGTTTGAGAAATTCACCCAAGAGGTGATGAGTGGGACAAGGCTCAATCCGCTTCATGCTCTTCATCCCACGTGGGCTGCGGAGGCATGCGAATAAAATTATCCGTTAATGGCATGCGTGCCGCTGTGCCACTTGGGACGTTGTTATTATATAGATTTTAAAAATATATATTTAGCATTTATATTCACAAGCAAGCAGGCTTAGGTTTAAGCCGCATTCACACTTGCCAACTGGAAGTGATGTAACTAATGCTCTTTTCCACTATAGGGTTCCGCTGCAGTCTACTTCGTGCATGAGACAAAATTCGAAGCTTTTCTATAAATCCCCGGCTTCTGAAGAAATGCACCGCGCCAGATTCCACGCCCAATAACTCTTTTCAAGGGTCCCTGGCCTAATTAGAAACTAAAAATCAATGTTGCAACACTTTTGACCTGTTCTTTGACCCTGCAAACACCTAAAATAATTGTTTCGTGGGAAATCGGATAGGGGACACCGGTAGACGACATCACGTCGGTTATTGTTTATTTATAGACAGAGTATAAGGCCACACACGTGCACGCTCGCACACCGTTAAATCTCACACTCGAAATGCCATGATTGACACTTATCCTTCCAACTGAGTTGTACTGAAGTCACATGGCACTTCTCAGTATATTTAGTAAGCAAGTAATTATGCATTGATTCACCAATAAAAATATAATCTTATGTCCACGACACATGTATCTGATCATGCGTGTAAGATTTTATTAGTTATGATTTACACAAAATATATGCACATAGCATGGAGCGTGGGCGCATTGGTTTCACACGTTGCGCTGTGAAATGGGCAAGATGAGTTCGAATTCTGGCCACGGCTAATATCATTTGGGTGCCGTGGTGGCGAGATGTTAACCACCTCGCCTTGTATACAGGAGGTCGTGAGTTTGATCCAGAGCCTGACGCATGTATATTTGGAGTTTACATGTCTCTCTCCCCGTGGTCACGTGGATATTTCTCCGGGTCCTCCAGTATTTCTCTACAAATTTAGAAACACACATTTAGAGTATTTGACTGCTGCTATAAATGTCCACGTGATAAGCCACTTTTTTGAGCTATCATTTGTGGCCAGGTCACTTCTGAAAAAGAGCTATATAGCTCAGTGGGCCTTACCTAGTAAAATAAAAAAATTGTACTTTTTTAAAGGGTGATATCTGAACCGGTCCTTGGCCCTCTCTTCACCAACCGACACCGACCAGCGTGGTGAAAAGAGCATGGATAAGACAAACCTGTGCAAATGAGACGAACAATCTGAATGAATAAAACACTGCAGTAGAGACAAGATGAACAGGAATCAACTCCTCTGTTGAATTGCATGGTGACAATTCTTATAATTACGGGGATTTTAACCCCCTTTATTTAAGAGGACCGAGCCTCTTAAACATCTGCTCCAAACTCCTCTCTTTATGGAGGTCAGCGGGCCAAAACATTAAGAGTTTAAACAAGACATCGGCACGAGCAAAAAAAGCAATCCTGTTCCGATGAACTAACCTGCCAGGAGGCAGTGCAGATGACAGGCGGAGTAGTAAATTAGTTCACCTTATATTCTTGGTTCTTTCGGTAAAGTCACGTAGAAGGGAAACAATAAAATAATAAAAATATAAAACAATACAATTCTCACGACGTTTCGACTGCAACACAAGCAATCATCATCAAGTGTGAAAACCACAGCAAGAAAATTTGAAAAAAGTGGTGGTTATTTTTAACGTTAGTCCATCTGTGTTCGGAAAAAGGAGGAGGGAGGCGAAAATAATGGATGTGATCTGAAAGCCACCGTAAGTGTGAACAATCAATTAAGACCCAAAATGGTTTATCAAATCCTTCCAATGATTGCTAAGCCAGAATCCATCTTCTCAGTTGAAATTGTCTCTGTGTTTGTGTATGTGGATAGCCTCATGAACGAATCTCTCATGGTAGCCAGATGGCTTGCAAAGAACCTCTGTCTTGGAGAAGTCAATGTCATGTGAGCCTACTGAATTATAACAGTGATCTGCCACGGCCGAGGTGTTGGTCCTACCGTGTTTTAGGTCTGCTTTGTGTTCACGGATGCGGTCCGAGACATGTTTGGTTTCTCCAATGTAACTACTACCACAGAGGCAACTTAGTTTTTAGACACCAGGGTACTGTATGTCCGGAATCACATCTTTTACAGATGGAACCAGATCACGGATTTTATGTAATGTATTGAATCGGACCTGGATCTTGTGTTTATTCAAGATTTTGGAGATCTTTTTTTGATCCCCACAATGTAGGGTAAAGTGATGGTTTTGAATGGCTCCTCAAGAGGGCCCTTCTTCATGGTTGGAGTGATAGCTTTGCGGATTGTGTAGTCGGAGTAACCATTAGCCTTAAGAGCTTGGTGTACGTGCTTGAGTTCACTGGCTATGTGTTCCTGGTCGAATATGCCTTGGGCTCTATGGTGCAGAGTCTTGATGAGGGAATTCTTCTTGGATGGTGGTGGGAATCCGGTTTCAGGTAAGTATCCGTATGGGTAGCTTTCCTGTAGACAGAGTAGTTCATTGAACCATCAGGTCTCTTTTTTATTAGGACATCCAAAAAAGGTAGCTTGCCATCTTTTTCGACTTCCATGGTAAATCTAATGGCTGGGTGTATGGAATTGATGTGGTCGAGGAATTGGTCTAGAGCAGGCCGGCCATGTGGCCAGATGACAAAAGTATCATCCACGTACCTCTTCCATAAGGTTGGGCGCAGAGTGGCAGTCTGGATGGCGTCAGTCTCATATTTCTCCATGAAAATGTTGGCTACAACTGGAGATAGGGGAGAGCCCATTGGGGTGCCCTCAGTTTGTTTGTAGAAAGTTCCATTCCAAGTGAAGTATGTATTGGTTAAGCAGTGTCTCACCAGGGGGGGTACCTCAGTGTTTAGTCCTTGATGAACCAAGTCTTCAATGATTGCGATGGTGTCAGGTACAGGAACTTTGGTGAATAAGGAAACTACATCAAAACTGACAAGCAGGTCGTCTGGGGACAGGGAAATACCCGTGATTGTCGATACCAGGTGAGTAGAATTTTGTACCGCAGAGGTGGTTTTTCCAGTGAAAAGCCGCAGGATTTCAGACAGAAAACGAGCCAGTTTGTAGGTGGGGGAGTTGATAGTAGAGTCGATGGGACGAAGGGGTGTATCTACTTTATGTA